TTTATTACAAGTCATACTAAGTTATGAGTTGTTCGTTCGTTGGCCCACTCAAAGTGCACACAAAACGTGGAAACGAGCGACATAAAAAAAAAATGTACATACAGGGTGATCCATCAACGTTAAGACGTACGTTTTCTCTTGAAAATAATTGCCACTTCGCAGTGTACTTTTTTGGAAACACTTGAGTTTACGTTAAGGTTCAAAAGTCGACAGAGCTCTGGAAAAATGCTTAAAAAGTTATATACATTTAGTAATTTTATAATGCCGTAAAATAACATACACAAAGTGGTTTCAAGTATAAATGTGAGTGTACAAACCGCAGTTGACTGAATATAGTTGTTGACATAAATTCCATGATTTTGGCTGTTTTTTTTTTTAATAAGAAAGTTTGAAACTGAATCATAACAGTCATGTTTGATTGGTATTCTAAAACAACTACCCAAGTGCATAGATTTTTGGTTTTTTTTTGTCGAGTCCAAATCTGGCCTTAGAAATGTTCAAGCACGTCTAGTTATTTTTTGAATAGCTACTAAAATTGTTCAATGAAACATCGTTTTATAGTGTTTTCAGCGAGTTGAACAACTTTCTAAAATTTATTCAGATATGTTAATAAATAAATAATTTTATTTTCTTTGCTAAATTCGTCACTGGTCTTTATAATTGTTGGTTATTAATACACAATCAAATTAGAAATTTAATCTTATTATTGATTTGTAAAATACCAATGCCAAAAAATTTAGATTGAGTGAACATTTTTTCTTTTCTTTTTTTTTAATAAAAAATATGTATTTCGGTTTTTTCTATTGGCCTTAATTCGAACAAAAGCAAAAGCGTTTGTTAGAATTTGAATTTGAATTGCATATAACAATCATATAAACTAATATAACCAAAATAGTACCTGCTGAAAAAATGAATCTAATTTGATAATTATTGTATTCGAAGTTTATCTGGAAATATTCTCATTTAAAACAAATTATTTTATATTGGATAATAAATTGTTACATCGTCAATTAAAATACCGAAGTCGTTTCATAAAATAGTGTATCTTATTATAGTTTAAGAGTCTTTACTCAATAAACATGCAACGAACACAATGTTAATAAAAGCCTTGCTGTTTACAAAGAGAGCTTAGTAGGAACGTGCAAAATATTTAACGCTAATGAAATTTACTTCATTCCAGACTGCTCAATATTTAAACTAAGCCAGCGCCAATGTCTGATACTAAACTAAATATTAATTTAACTGATACCGAAACTGTTTGTAAATGACTAGTTTGTAGTGATAACAGTTTTAACAGGTTTGTCTGCACAATACAAAGGTATGAATTAATTAAAAATATACAATATTGACGTTTGTGTAAGCCAGCATGAAGAAAGCATTTAGAACATAAAATGTAAAAGCAACAAATCTTTTACAATTAATTGAAAACCGTAATAGGTATTTTTGTTCAAAGAGTTTACATAAATTATTTCGGAATTAACACATATCATTTTAATTTAAACATCAAAATCATTTTCAAAAAAAACTGATTATTTTCTCCGCTCCACGGAAAAACATTGAATCATGGATATGTTGTCTCTTATCACTTATCTTTTATCTCTAAACTCTTATCACTTGTCTCTTATCTTAACGGCAAGTGAAAGTGTAACGCGAAAATGGCGGCATGAAATATCTTTTATCCAACCCAATAACATATTCTTTTAAAAAAAACTGTGTGTTTTCATTAAAAAAAAACCACTCCTTCTAGGGTAATGGGTTTTTTAAGTTTCTTAAACATCGGAGCTACAAAGATTTTACTAAAAAAATACCTGTAATAAGTAAACGTGAATTGTGTTTAACGCACACATAACATTAACTGAGTAACAACGAAAAAAAAAACAACAGACCGTGGTAAGATTTTTGTTTTACCCCAACAAACCCTGTTAAATATTCAAACTGCTAATGAGTTAAGCGAAAACAAGTATTTATAACAAAATACGTTTAATATGGATGATGCATTAACATAATATTATGCTATTTGCTATGTTGAATATTCCAACGGCCAAATTTTCCGATGAAAAGGATAAACGTCAAGTTATATAATAATGTATTATTATGATTTTATTCTAAGCACGGTTGAATTATTCTTATCCACTGATCAACAGCTGACGTTTGCTTTCAAAGTTTGAAGGGATTATTGGTTTTTTTTCCAATCGGTTCATTCGAGACGTGTTCGTGACTTGGAATATTGACTTTGAAAATACATTTTTTTTTCTTAGCCAAGTGCTTTCGTATACATTCCAAAGCTTAAACATTATTCATTTAAATTTAATTTATTATTAGTGTTATGACCGTTTGACATTTCAGGCCTACACAAGGCCCAATCATAATTGTCACACTGTAAACTAAAGTCCAAGGTCCGTTGTAACGTTTGAGATAAATTAGTCGACCCGTCCGTTTATGTGTTTTATAAATTATCTCCTATAAATTACCTTAGAAAACATATTGTAAAATATAGGGTTTGTTTATTGGTATTATCTTTTCATGAATCTTATAGTGATTATTATGTAGTTAATCGTTAAAACCATTTAGTTGGTCAAAAGTATAATAATATAGTACATCTTATTAACTCGTTGTAATACATTTATGAGGTTTTAGTTTATGTTTAAATTTAAGAAAGAATTTTTTTTTTGTTGTTCTAATATTTGTTTTTTTGTTCAAACAAATAAAGTTAAAAAAAAAACACTATTGAGAACTGCATAATGACTATTATTATAAATACGAATATTATATTTTCTTCTTAAACTAGTATCCCATGATATCTCTATGTAATTTAAACTGGCTATATAGGATGAATGGATATTAATGTTTCTACCCACTTGTGCAAATTTATTTTTTGAGTTGCAATAAATTCCGAGTAAGACTAAAGCAGTAGTTGGTCAATGACGAATGAATCACTGTTGAATCAGACACAAGAATTTGATCATAAATTAAGTGAGAATAATATATTATAATCGTTTATGGCAAATCATTTTTATAGAATATATTTAACATGTTTGACTAATTGTACCATTAACGGTAAGCCAGCTGCCACTCGTACATTATAAATGTTTTTTAAAATACAAAAAATAATAATTGTGTTTTTTTTTAAGACTATTTATTTTTCCTAACGCAATTGTGTAAAGTTAAAGTTAGTAAACGTTTTAACTTTTTTGATTTTTTCTAAATAAAAAAAAAACGAAAAAAACTTCTATTTAATTAAAATAGATAAAAAAATTGAGTAATTCTATCCAGTCATTTTTAATTAGCTCAAAGTACAGTACAGGACTAATGAGAAAGTAATGGTACATAACCATACGGAACGCAAAAATGATATTTAAATCCCGGGGGGGGGGGGAATGCCATACTAAAAATAACAATTTTAGGGTGAATTTGCCCTGAAGTACTTTGGCTCAATTAAGAACGATTAGAAGGAATCACTGGATTTTTATAAAAAAAAAAAAAAGTTCATTATTAAATAGATTTTCCCATTTTAGCTTCGATGCGTAGCTGAGAAGGTATTGTATTTTTACAATGATGTGTTTTTTATTTAATATATATATTTTTTTTTTTAATTTGTGTCGAAACCAACGATATCTTTTAAGTCGCCTAATTGATTTCTTCGTGTAGTAACTCTGTAGATCAGAAATCTTACCTGTAAGATGTTTTACGGGATCTAAAATTTAAAAATTCACCAAATTCGCCCCTATGCAATTTTTTAAAAATAGTTCCAAATTTGTACTGAATATTCTATAGACACGGCACTATCAATAAACGTTGACCAAACCAAACAAATATCATTAACCCTTTTCCCTAGAAGGGGCGGAAATGTTTTCTTTGTGACGTTTTTTTTGGTGAAGTTTTAGGGCTTAAGGTTTGCAAATTACACTGAAGGTAGATTTAGAGTTGGGGCGGCTATAACATGTACAATTTTCTCAACAAATTTTTTTTTACTGAAAAGACCAAAAAAAAAGAGGAAAATTACACTTTGACTGTAGTCAATTTCTGCTTTGTGTGAATCAACAGGTATTTAAAAAATGTTTTCATTACATTGTTAGCTAATATAATACATGGGTAACTATGGCAATAAATTATTACAGACAGACGAACAACCCTAATCGTACCCACCCTTAGTAAAACCGGATCGTTCAAATTTCATGTACTTTTTTCGTCGCCTATTCTTTTAGAAAAAAATAATAATCCGTAATTAGTAGTTCATAGTAATGCGCACATGATATTTTTTTTATATCTATTTTTTACACTATAGTAAATCTATGGTACGCTCAATGTCGGCTATGAACGTTTTACGGCGTACGCAACCGTTAACGACTCCAGGACTTTACCGACGGTCCTTGTAGTAGTGTTTATTGCGTTTTTTGGCTTAATAATTAAGACCTTCGCGCATTACTGTTATCATTATGACTGTCTAAGTCTAAGGGTAATCGTTCGGTCCGGCATTAGGCCGGCCCGTGCACAGCCGTTGTTATTACATACTATATGCGTTCGTCCCCGACCTTTCGGCGACGACGGCCTGTCGGCGATATATATATATATATATAGGTATTTGTTTTTTATTAAAAAAAAAAAATTAATTTCCCCGTAAAAAAAATCCAGTCGAACGAGTGATTCACAGTGGTCCGACGGCGCCGCCACTAGGTCGAGTTCCAAGGCCGAGATGGTCCCCGAGAAAATAATAAAAAGGCGCAATGTATTTGTACAATGAAAAAAAAAAACAACTGCGAAATCTTATTCCACCTTATACATGTATATTATTAGTATATGTACATATATTTTTCCCCCCTGAGTAGCGGCAAGTAGAAAATTTACCGTCGGTCATCGCCAATCGCCGATGCTCCCTCCAAAAGAGACGGAGTGTCGTTGACCACTCTTGCCTACTACTACTTTTTTTTTTACACATTGTGTGAACATCTATACATACATATATAATGCACCATCCTCCGACCGATCCGACACACGCATTTTTGTCACAAAACCTGAAGTGAAATTATTACATACACACACACACACACACACACACACAACTTGAGGTGTGTATTTATTGTATAAAAAACGCTTGCGACGTTTAAACAAGCGCACAGTGCCGAAGTGTATCGTCTTAGTGTTTCGCCCGGGACCCGCAAGTCAGTGGGTCGTCTCAATAGAGTATTATTGAAATAAATATAGAATAAAAAAGTTTCTTTAGTTTGGTTTTTTTTGTAAAACGGGTTTTTTTTTATCGCTCAATTATTCTCCTGCAAGTCTTCCGCCAGTGGCAGTCCCGCAATACGCGCACCCAAAGTAAGTAAGTACGATGGCCTAGTTTAAGATTTTCCGATTATTATCTATTATGGAAATATATTTTTCACAACACCCGTCCATTGAATATTAATACGGGCCAGCTTATGGCAGTTTGCCAGCATTTGCCATTCGATATGAGACACTGATTTTCTCCGATGTAAGCGTTTGAGTTTTGAATTTTTATAATTCTACTGACTTCGAAAAGTCTATGACTTTGCAAAGATATCACGTTTCTCCTTATAATTATTATTATGTCGTATGTCTTTGGTTTTCCAAAATCAAGTAACCCATAAAAACACCATTAACCAGACACAAACAAATATTTTAAGATAATGAAAAACAAGCGGATCTTATCTACCTCTTCAAACCCATCGACGGGGGTATTATTTAATGGGAAACTGTTGTGATATACATACGCACACTTACTTTGTACAACTCCATTACCTGACCATGTTTACATGATTTTCGTTTACCATTTAATTGGCACTTAACGTTTATCGTCTACCCTATTTAGAGTTCTACTCTCTTACCATTTTCATTTACATTATAAGAGATAACATTTCTTTTTGAAGAAAAAATGTTCGGCTTTTGCAAAATATTAATCTGCAGTAATTTTTTTCCAATTGCAAAGTAATTTTTGTATTAAAATCATAAAAATAAGCGTCGTGTTTTGAACAAATTTTTTTTAACAATATTTTTCATCTAGAAGAAAGTCAGAAATTTCACCGACCAGTCAAATATAACATAACCAATTATATTTATTTTATCATAATGGAAAAACCGGGTATCGTTAATATTTAAAAAAAATGTCAAAATTATAATAAAACAATTATAAGCGTTAAAGCTTTACAGTGTTTGCATAATAATTTTGACTGATAATACTTCAACAGCTGTGATGACATTTTAGTGGCGTTTATAGTTTATTGCAATAACAATTAACAAAAAAATTAATTTGTATTTTGACTTCGAAATTTCTACTAGAATTAAATTTCTTCCACGAAAAATGTATGTCTCAAAAACAGACTATTTGAAAACTACTGGTACGCTTAACACAATGCAATGGTCGATTATTAAAAATGTTTTCAATTAAAAATAAATTCGTTGATTATCCATGTCATGTCTCGTCAAGTCTATTTGGATTTTGTTAAGTTGAATTTGAATTCAAGTCTTAATTGGACTTTTTAAAATCACTATTACCCGTCAAAATCGTTTTTTGATTGACTAAAACCAAAAGTAAACAACCAAAACCAAAAAATTATTTTACACCGAATTATAACTAATTAAATTAAATTTTTGGTGTAAGTTAAAAACCACAAGCTTGATTTTAATGGACAATTTTTCCATTCGCTATTGAAGTAGTCTTAGAACAGTTTTCAATTTTTATTTTATCGGTGGCCAAAAAAAAAGCGTCGACAGTCCGTTTAATTTACGACGGTCCAAGCATGTTATTAGGTTACTTTTAACGTTTTTTTTTTTTTTTTTGGGAGTTGCTCGAGTTCAATAAAATGTGTTTTACTCGACCCTTTTTACAACCAAAGTAGGTTAGCGACCAAAATAAATCGAACCCTTTTGCCGACCCTTATCGTGCAACGGTCATACTTACTTATTCGTCCCGTTTCAAACCAAGTTGCGTGCCATTATCGTTAAATTATTACACTGTATAATAAAAACAAAACTAATTAACTTCATTCACGGTAATTTGACTACAAACAGATACCCTTAATGTTTTAATTTTATTTTGTATTTTTCGGTGCTCTCTAGGGTTTTTTTGATTATAAGATCATGTAGTGTGGTTAAAATATTGATATTTACTGTAATCCAATTTTTCTTGTTCGCAAACCGACCAAATGGACCAAAAGTAAGTTATTATATTTTCGAGCTATTTCAACTGGGATCAGTAGTGGTCGTTGGTTGTCGGAAACGTTATTGCAAACAGTTATGCAACATTGTGCTTTTTGTTATCAAAACTTTACACTATAGCACTTAGTTGGTTTTTGCTAACAGAAGACAGTTGCTAACATTCGTATTGTTATAATTTGCTGTGTTTATCGTTGAAAACGCAAAACGTATTAAGTTGGACAATAATTATAATCACAGCGGAGGTTAATATACGAAATTTAAAAACAAATTGGAGTGCTATGGAAATTATGAGGCCAGTTACGGTTTCAGCTGAAAAACATACTATAAAATGTGTATATGTATTATATTCTTCCCAAATAAAAAGCGATATTTTTTTGTACAATGTAATCAATTAAACGCAAGTAATTATCTAAAAAAAAAACAATATTCAAGTACGACGTTTGTCCTATTTCACCAAAGCTCTTTCAAATTTACAATTAAAACGCGGTCGATCGCACTTGGATTAAAATATTGTACTTTTTAACAGTTTTCATTGTAATCCAGTTGCTTTTGAGGAATACTTGTCAAATCGTTATTTCGAAGAAAAAATGCGCTTGTCTTTAGTGTTTACCAAGTAACAATGTTTTGTTGTCGGTTATTTTGACACACAAAGGGCACTCGTCGAGTATCCTATTGTGGCTTCTGCGCCTCGTTAATCAAATCATATGTAAACAACTTTCTTTGGGTGTTTGAACAGTCCGGTTTGTATAGGTATGTTATCCATCACGGTTGGATGTTCGTTAGTTTCGCTTTAAACGGTATTGACGGACAGTTGCCAGCTAAGGTATTATAGGTACGTCTCAATCGTCTCGATGATTTGTCGATTGGGGCCACACGCTCTTGCCGCAACAACAGCTGACGACGGTTAGTAGAATAGTATAGTAATATATGCTGGTCAAAGCGTCGAAACCGCAAGATGATAAAAAAAAAATTGTTAAAAAACTTTTATTTTCAAACCGTTTGCTGTAAATGGATTTTTCAAACGTCAAACGCATTTAACAGTACTTTGAGTTAGTTTTAGAAATGGTAACTATTTAAATATTCCAACAGTATTAATAAGTATCAAGTGTCTCGATTTTTCAATACTTAAATCATTTTTCCGTTGAAAAAACAATTTTCGATCAAAGGTGGAGATAGTATAAAATAGCCATTGTGCAGCAATGGCTATTCTGTACATATAGGTATAGGTGGTCGGTCGTTATTGGGGATTTCCCCGTGCGAGGTGATTCGTCAAAAGTCCGAGACGTGTGTCATTAGAATAATAATAATTACCGACAAGCCCGTAAAACGATAACGATCGGTTCGGCGGATTTGGCTGTGATCTTCAATAACAATGCACGCAACAATGACTGTATAATAATATATTATTATATTTGTTTTTTCTTACACGTGTCTGTGGCTACCGTTAACGTCGGCGAACGTTTGACAACGTTATAATATTTTTTATCGGCGATCGTTAAAAAACACACACACACACAAACGCGTGCCGGCGCATGCCGTCCACCGGACACGGACACGGTACGTTTAAGATTTTTAAACTTAACTGTCTGAATACACACAAAACGGTTTTTGGAAATCGTGCGATGCTGTAATGGTTATTACTATTCGACCTCGGCTGGAGTAAACGGGCAAAACGCCGTGCTGTGGAATGCCCCATCGAATTTAAAGCGACCACTGAATTGGCTCCCCGAACCTGGGAAATGAAAGAGAATAGGGTGTGAGATGGTTCGGCCATGTCACGAAGGCAAAGACAGCGAGAGGTGTTATGAAGATGAATGTAGAGGGGAAAAGAGGAAGACCGAAGAAAAGATAGATAGCTGGGAATGATTGAACGAGATGTAGAAGATCGAGCTCTATGGAGTTGTTGGACTAGGGTGTCCGACCCCTGTAATTGGAATTTTAAGGCGAAGATAAAGAAGAAGTAGAATACAGAACACTGAACTCACATTTATGAAAAAACCATCCACAGGCTACCATTCTGTGAACAGTTTTGTCTATGATATTTACTGTTTTTACCTAACCTGAAATTTTAATATGTACCATGGAAGAGTAACGTAGCATTATTATTTTCTATGAAATTGGTACACAAAATGGCTGCCTCCCAGGTTATACAGAACCAATAGGCTTTTAATGACATATCCCCGGCTCCATACAATACAGGAATTCTTAAACTAACATGTTGCTTTTCCACATTTTCTGGGGTTTTGGCGGTGGTCTTTTCAAAAGCTGGTGTACTTCTCGTCTACAACGGGTCCAATACTCAATAAGCACATTGCGGGCTAATCTCCTCTTGCACGAGTAGAGAACAATACGTATGTTTGATAATCGACAAACGGGTGTCAAGAACAACAATAATCCTAACCAAACGACACCATCAAAAAACCCACTGTCAGAATAAATAGGTTCTCCAGTGATTTTTTTTTTTTTTTGCGTAACGACCCTACCGACTGTCAAATCATTCGAATGCGTTTGCATTACGATTGCAGTCAGACCATTATAGTAGTGTACATGATAATATTTCGGTGTTGACAAGTCACTAACCAACCGACTGTTTGGACGTTGAACGCGTAACCGATTAAATGGCAATCGGTTAGGTTAGGTTTTGCAATACCTGGTGCGATAATAGCAATGGTAATAATAATACGATTGTAACATCTTCGAGCGGTTACGCGAAGGCAAACGAAAATAGCGAACCGCAAGAGTGAGAGGAAAGATGCGAGGTCAAAGATGATAGCGAAATAAGAACGCGGTGGTCGGTGTCCGCGCATTATAATTAATCGAGCTTGGCGCCTTCGCCTTCCAACGGCCGGCGATGACTTCCGCCCTCGCCTTACACACCGCAATGATTGATTAAGTTTACGCCGGTGAACGTGTGGGCATGACTTGCACTTATCCCGTCCGATCCCGACGATAGTCCTCAAGTTGTCCGGGAGTTAATGGCCCGCGGAGTGACTATTAACGTCGACGACGACAACACAAAATTATACCCCCCCCCCCATCCACTCCGTGTAGCGTTTACCTAAAAAATAGGCCTAAAATAAAACTCACAACAGTCCTATCCGTATATTTTTAAACTGGTTCCTTTCTATGATTAATGCCGTTCTTGGTGTCTTTACCGTGGCAGAGATGTTTAATTTGCTGAGAAAAACAAAAAAAAATTATTAGAAGCGTATAATGTGTTTTAATATAAGCACTGTTAAAAAAAAAAACAAGTAAAACGTTAGTTACAATATTATTATTCCATTTCAGTCGTTTTATTTTGCATTTACTCTTGGTTACGCATTCGGTCAGTCTAGTATTAACTGTCTGCAAGAGATAGCTACCTATATAATATTAAAATGTATTGATTATGTTTTTTTAACAATAATTATAATCGTCTGGGTTCTAGGATGTATAGCTGAATACTAACATTAGACTGGCTAATCCGTTTCTATATGTGGAGATGAATAATTCAAAAACGAAACTAAATAATATATATATATATATATATACATTTTTTTATTTACTCTGTCATTCACTTAATCCTCTTTCCAAGAGATCTCTGTCTTCTCTACCATCGCAGAAGTCCCACGTGTAGCATCTTTTTTTTTATAATAATCATTCGGTAAAAATATTATAAATAATACAATTTTAATATTGACATTTTAGTTAACTATAGATTAATTATCTGCTTACTTTTTATTTAATAATTTTATAAATTAATTTGGGGTAGCTTTTATAAATTAAAAAAAACTTAATAAAGTAAATAACACAAAAATTTGTTGAGTTCAAATAACCCTTTCGAACCTAACTTAATAAATAACTTTGCCCATAATAATATAGGCCATTATAGTTCTAATTTTCCACACTGAATACTTATCAAGGATAAGACCGTTTCGTATCTAAGTCGTCTATTAAATTTGTCAGTTAATTTAAAAACACATACTTCATTAAAACTTGACTACCTATAACTAGTTGAAAAGTTTAAATAAGTATACACAATTACAGTTAAAGTTTTATACTACATTATTTTTATTTTCGTTAACTTAATCATAAAAATCAACATTGTAATTTCTGTATTACCTAACTATACCTACCTAAATTTTCTATAAGAGTATAACACTACACTGTAAGATTTGACAATTTTGGAATCGGATCCAACGGATACTACGACTGTGACGCCAAAAGTGGCGGGACCGAAAATGTAAGTTTCTTGTTCGGCTGCGAGAAGTACCTACGATAATAATTTACGGTCTAGGTCAAGTCAAGATGATACATTGGCTTATTGCGTTTTGGAAAATCCAAAGTTTCAAATATCGTTAACGACTCGAGTGGACTCGAAAAAAAAAAATATATATATAGGTACCCCATAAACCCCATACGTTTAACTACTGCCGCTGCTGTCAAACTAGGTATAATATGCTAATGTATATTACTCGGATTCCGGCAAACGCACCGGTGGCGGCTTAGCACGTCAAAACTTAATAACTCGGATGGCAAAACACAAAACAAAAAAAAACCACGTGAAACTAATTTGGAGCCGAGCTTAAGTTTGGTAGTGCAGAAACGTTGTTGGAAAACAATATCCGTGAGGCGCATACATACATGGTGGTGCTGGTGTACAGTGGTCGGATTAAAGTATATTATTATTGTTACAATATCTACTCCGGTGGGAACCGAATTTCAAGAATAAGAAGTTTGCAAAAGCCAGCCTGCCCCCGTTGAATCGGCGGTCGCTGGCCGTTGAAATAATAATATTATGTAAAAAACCGTTTAAAAAAATATATTATGTTTAATTATTGTCATAAGGTTAACCTAATGGCACCGGTTCGGTGTCTTCCATATTTCCATATTTTTCTGGTGAATATCGTATCTTTCTGTCTGCTGCTATTACACAATAATATCGTTGCCGTGCTGCGTTGTATCGGATGAAAATAGCAGTAAATAAATAAAAAAAAATTACACGTGAACTTAACCCGCAGTCGTCTCGGCAACAGGTTTCCAACACTACAGCGGTACCTACTTCCCTGGATATGCACCTCAAAAACCCGTGTAACCCGTTTTGAAATCGAGGCGACCCCAAAAAACAAAACGCAAATCAGTCCCGCAATACTCTAATATTATCTAAGAGTAGGTTAAAAAAAATTCAAGGCTGAATCTCTAATGTAACCCCATTCACAATGACAAAAAAAACACCCTCTATTGTTCGCAATAATCACATTTGGGTCTACTCGACAGATGTTGCTTATGAACACTAATCGCGTTGTCTTTACCCTGTGACGTTTACAATTTATTCGGCTTTACTCGGAGAAAATGGCAATTGGTTTTGTTGGCTCGAGAGCTTTCTCGTGTATTGACAAAACGAATTAAACTAAAAACGAAACGCTAATGTAAAGTTTTTTTTGAACAGAAAAAAAAAACCTTCAAAATAACATTACAGCTTTGCTTTATCCGTAAGTACAACACTTATTTGTAATCACAGTGGACCGTTGTCGTTACGTTAGGCCGATGAGTGGAGTGGACTGTAAAAACAGTATAAGACGTTATTTTTGCAAGAAAATTCCACCAAGACCCGGGGCGCAATCTTATGTTTTATTTTTTAAGTGCTTTCGAACTTTCTTTGTGTGTTTAGGCTTGAGACAGTCAACGAGGAGTCGCCCCGGCTGTTGTTTGTACTACAGTAAAGCCGAACAGTTTTCTGATGTGTGAAAATATCAAAATTTTGCTACACCGCTAATATGTTATAAGTCTATAAATTATTATTTTTGGTTGTGTATACAGTACAGGTATTCCACTAAGTAGGTCTCTGCAAAATTGCGGTAAATTTTTTGTTTACACGGAAAGTGATCCTTCTGCGGTTTTGGTTTGTTTACCGATTTCCAGCGATTGCGTTGCTTCAACAGGGAGTGCTGCACACCGTCTGGTTTTGTCTAATCTCAGATACTGTAATGATTGTTATTATTATTATTGTCGAAATTGGAAATGATCCAACGACGGTCTGTGTTGTAATAACATGTCACCGCGGTCGTGCGGATCGTTGCCATTAAACGGCATCGATTAAAAAAAAAAACATCAAAGATTACGATGAGATTAATGAAGTCGAACAAAAAAAAAAAATACACAGTAAGGACTCGTGTTGCTGTCAGGCGCGTGCTCGTCCCGTTTAGTCGAACGCCAGGAGGTCTATTATGTCTAAAACCGTGACAGAGTCCATCGTTTACACGCCGCGTCATTATTATTCACAAGAGTAACCCAAGATTGAAATATTATAAAACCAGACGGTGATGTGCTTTGTAGTAAAACAATAGGTTTTCAAATAACTATTTTCGATTGGGTTAAACCAATGCAGTAGGGCCAAATCGTGATACCTAATATTAAGCCGGATACCGTCCGTGACTTTACTTCCGCGTTTAATTTGTTTCCGGAAAAAGGTCAAAACGTGGCAACTTTTGAGCTCCGTCGCAAGACGGATTAAATTAACGAAGAAACGACAATTATTTCTGCCGCCCACGTTGTTTCCCCGGTGTGGACTTAATATTGTTTTGACCGAACAGATGGTTTAACGCTGTCGACAAGCTTTTCGTTTCCATTTAACGCCCAGCGCGACAACTGTTGATTGAAAAACCGATTAAAATTTCATTCTTCTACCGAAATCTAGCAGAAAGTCTTTGTACAGAGCATTGAGTATTAACTTGACACACGATATAAAAACACTAGCCGTCAAACCGTATGGTAACCGCCATTGTGACCAGTTTGATCAACAGCTTCTGTTTCTCATGAGTTATTCGTTTGGATGAAGACCAGCAAAAGAACGCCTGATCTCTCAAAAGTCAAAATAGAGTACTATACTTAACATTTTTAATTCCAGTGTTTATGGATAGTACTTAGATGAAATTAAAAAAAATTGTTTGGGCTATTACTCAGTTTATTTATTAAATTAATTAGTAAAAAAAAACACTATGATATTTGAAATAAATGATGAGTCGGAAAGCAAATAGCTACAATTTCCGCACGTTTGGAGGCAATTTTTCTAACCTACTTGACACGTTTGAAAAAAAAAATTATCATCAAAGTAAACGTTTGTATCGCCAAATAATACTGAAGCGACCACTGAAATAGAATTTTTTCAAGTATTTGCCACTGTTGTTATTCTTATCATAATTTAGATTTTAGTAGCTGATTTCGCTTTATTTTTGCCATACATTAACGGTGCAACGTTAACTCTGTTTCAGGTACGATAAAAACATGAACGGATTCACTTCGTTGGTATGTATGGTGGCGCTGGGCTGCGCGTGCGTCAACGGCCAAGTGCCTTCCAGCACGCCGTGCTCGCTGTCGTTCTACCGGTACCTGTACAACTTGCCCGGCGAAAAGATCCGACCCAACGTGCCGGCAGGCACCTATGTGTTCGGCAAGAGAGTCGGACCACCTCAAGAAGACGCCGAAGCCAGCGACAACCGGCCTTCGTTTCTGAAACCCGACTCTCGGGAGTACTTGCCCCCGTCGGTGCCGTCGACCACCTTTTTGCCTCCCCAACCGGTTTCCACCACGACCTACCGACCGCCGCCGCCGCCGCCGCCACCGGTGTACTCCACCCAAGCACCGTCCACGTCGGCTCCGGTGTACATCCCGCCGCCGCCTAGCCCTTACTTCCCCGAAGCTTCAAACACCGTGGCCGTCAAGTCGGTGAAACCCGCTGACTGCGACAGCCCGTCTCACAGAGCGGCGGCGCCGCCACAACTGCCCGCGGCTCTACCGCGGTTCGACCTGCCGAAATTGCCGCAGCCCACGTTCTTCGCGCCGCAGTTCGCTTTCCCGCAGCAACCGCCAAGGCCGGTCGTGATTGCCGCCAACGAGATCCGGCCGCCTCAGTTCAAGTACCCCGTGCCCACGCCGCCGAGCCGGTCGTTGGCCAGCAAACCCGCCGAGGAATGCGACAAGCCACACCATCCGATCACCCCGTTCCCCTTGGTTCCTTCCACCACGATCACCCCCAGCACCACCGCCGCCGCCGCCGAGCCGTTGGAAACCAGACAGGACGACGTGGTCATCATCCCGAGCTCCCTGCAAACCCTGGACCAGCCCAAGCCCGACTGCGGTCACCCGGAACACCAGCCGGCCGAGTCCCAGGGATACGGCCAGCAGAGCATCGGCGTGCCGTCCGAAGACTACGGCGTGTCCGCGGCCCCGTCGGTCCTGCAACCGGCCGCGCCGTCTGCCGGGTACTCGTACGACAAGCCCAGCCCTTCGTTCGGTTACCCCCAGCTCGACTCGGGATACAACTACCCCAAGCCCAGTCCGTCTTTCGATTTCCCCGGGTTTTCGGGGCAGGCCACGTCGTTGTTCGAGTCGCCGGCCGCCCAGTCGTCGATAGCCAAAGAAGACGGCGATCTGGTCATACTCAAAGTCTAAAATCCTAAGCGCCAGCCGTCCGAAACACATCCACTTAATGTAATTATTTTAGATTCGTGTATTATTATTATAAACATAACACCGTAGAAGTTTAGTTTTAGTCGTTATATATTATGAAAATCATGTTACCAATTCAAAAAAAAAAACATTTGTTACCATTTCATTTTAATTCTTCTACATTTGTTTAACGCTTGTTTATTCTTTTTTTTTTTTTTACAATAATTCATTATTAGAATTTTATCGCTTACGAATAAGATCCATCATTGTACATTAGCTATTTAATATTTTTAATATTGTATCCAATAAACGCATATCATATTTTGTTTTGTTTAGTCGTGGTCTGAAATTATTTCGTTTTCCCTTTCAAAATGGAGAAAAACCCCAAAAACATATTAAACGTTGACTAACCAACAAAATTACCATAAAACCTTTCCCCTTTCTTTATTTTGGTTTTTTAGATGAAGATTTAGGGTTTAACGTCTGAATATCAGACCTAAGGTAGATCTAGAATGGGACTAAAGAACCCCCCCCAACCCCCAAAAAAGGAAAAAAATACTCTTTGACCATACTTATTTTCTAGGTTGCTATGAGTGAATCAACAGTCATCAGGTATTTGAAAATATTTTCATAGCATTGTTAGTTAACAATGTTAACTAATATAATATATGGGTAACTATGTAAACAAATCATTATAGATGGAAGACCAACCACAATCGTATCCATCCTAATACAATAAATTGATATTTAAGCATATTATTTTAATTTTTTTAACCATGGAAAACAAATTAACACAAATAAGTAGATAAAGATAAAGTGGTCATGATAAGGGGAAAAGCTTACTGAAATCCTTTCTTGTGTCTAAGCGAAGATGACAAAAATATGACTGTATGTTTTTAGGCATTTGATGTTACCAACATGCAAACAGATTTTGTCTTAAGCACATTTATTTGTATGTCATCAAAGAAATTCTATTTTTCTTATAAGCATAAACACATTACTCAATGTATGAACGAAAAATGATTTCTTGTATTAGGTCCTTTCATAAATCATTGATTCCATTATTCAATCCAGTTTTTTTTTTTTACAAATGATCCATCGACGTAATGACACATGTAATAGTTTTTGATCTGATGAAAAATATTTAACGTGAGTGCAACGTGAGCTATCAATTCATCATACATCTATATTTGTCATTAACTTAAGTCCTTGTCTATATCCATTAACGCCATGCAATATTACCAAAAATAAATTAAAGGGAAACCGACCATAGATGTGGTCAGATGGAACTTGGGCGTACTTAGATGATAAGTCATTTTTGGTGATTAATTAAATTGTTTTATTTTTGTGTCTATATTATTCCATTTTTTGAACCGTTAATGTTTTGTTAATGCATTTTAAATGGAAAGAAAGAAGCAATTAAAGTGAGCAATTCGAGATAGACTCTTTCCATGTTCAGATCACTTTACAAGAATTTTATCTAAGAATTGAAATGGTCAAAAAACTATTTTATTTCTCTTAAGTTTATTTATACAGTATTCATATATTTCACGTTTAAACTGTACTGTAACAAAATACAATAATTAAAATAAATCATTCAAGAATGACATTGGTTTTGATTATATATCATATAATCATACCTACTTGAGAACTGAATGAAGATAAACGATTTAGTTTTTTCGTTCATTAAACCTTAAAACGGTCGTTTAAGCGACCAATCGTTTTACTTGGAAGTTAATTTAGATGGTAAATCCAATTATTTTGCACAATATGACACAAAATTGTTACATTGATAACATTGCATTGTCTCCTTCGTCCGCCTCCGCTTAGACAACAGTCTTATCCCACACAATTTCAGATATTGTCAACGATGCGTTCAGTGAAAAATCTTTCTCGTTTAGGAGTAGCTTTAAAAAAATAAGGCCGAGCGCGTTCGTTTTTAGCACGCATTCCATTGGTTTGGCAATAAATATAATGTTACAAAATTTAGTTGTTTTTTTTTTTTTTTACAGAAAAATGATATAATATTGCATTAATGTGTTAAAAAAATAACACAACACAATAACTTGTGAACCCAAAGTAGGCTCATCGGTAAATAAATAATAATATATCATTGTGTACACAGATTACAAGCGACAATCTGGTAATACTCGTTTATGACATTATTAAATGTGTTTTATAATATTTTAATATGTCTGCTTTCGGCGGACCGAGCGAATAATATTCCAACCTTACCCAATATTTTCAACCAGTTTTTAAAAACCTATTTAACGTTTTCTAGATATCATAATTTATATATAAATATGTGTTGTTAGTTTTATGGACGGCGCTTAAAACGTACCTACCACCTGAATAACACTATTATAACACCATTAGTCTAAAGTACTCGATGGGTAGATAGGTAGATTTATTTATGGTCACTGCAAACATTTAAACACAATAATATTACAATATTATACTGTTTAATTAGCATATAATTTAATCGTTATACAACGATTGTCTCCGCAAGCTTGGCTTGTTGTGGAGACAACAACACTTGCTGCTAAATTTGTGAATGAAAATTTGGTCAATTAAGTTGTTATTTCAATATTTTAAATTCGGTTTTAAAGTTTTTGTGTACATTTAAAATGCGTTTATTCATAAAACAATCAATATTCAGATTTTCAAATTTCCAGCGGTAAATATGGCAGATTTAACATTTTTTCTTAGTATGGTTAAATACTAGTGGCACTTGTAATGAGTCTTATCAGTTTGAAATTTCAGTGGGCAAATAAATAAATAATTATTTATGTTTCATAGTAAAGTTCAAACAATATTATGCCAAAAAAGATAATATATTTTAAATGTTTGCCTTGTACTAAAGTTATGAAAGGATTTGAGAGTATTATCATTTGGTCTCCACTGTATAATATTTTAATCCCATTCCGCTTGGAAATGTCATACAAAATTATTAGTAAATTATTACTAAAATTTCTAGTACTACTAAAAGAGGAGTACTTATCCGCATTATGCGGCGACCGTGATGGTAAGAAAACTCACTATAGTGAAGGTTGACAGCAGAATATAGTCAATTTATGCCTGGACACATTTCAGAATATTGCACAATACTGTTTAGTGGTAGCTTTCAAGAATTTCCTAACCAGCAATAATATGTTTGGAGACTACTGAAAACAAAATTATATTTTCACAATAATGTATTTGAAAATTATTTAGTATTCTCATAATAAATAAATTATGAAAAATATTAAAACATTTTCAGTTTCCACGACAATATATATAATTACATTTTTTTCCCGCTATTCTGGGTTGGCATTTTGGTAATAAATCAGCCGCTTGATTTATTAAAACTTAAAAGTGTCTACGGGGAAAAAAGAAGACAAGTCACTTTTTATCCATAAGTTTTCTGAAAAAAATCATTTAAATATACAAAAATACCATAAGATAAATGTCGCTTTTAAACGGTACAAATTGTTCGTTGAATATTTTGCCGGTGCATTACTTACTATTAATATTTTCAGAAGTGTTTTTTCACTTCACTTACCTCGTAAAATACAAATAGGTAATATAATAAAAAAAAAAGAAAAGTTTTAAGAAAAGTGAACTCTTCCTTTCGTTTTTCTGGTATTCTTCTTTTAAAAATCGGGTTTCCTCTGACCTAATCTCACAAGTGCACATTCAAGTGCATAAAACAATTATTATTAGTAAAAATTGCTTACCTATACATTTTCAGTACATCTTTTCTTGAAATTATTGAAATTTAATATCTGTCCAGGTCGGCGTTCCTCAGATAGCCAACAAAAAAATTGCTCTCACCTCTCCCTTTTGTAACTAAAAAGTATAAATAATAATTTATAACCAATAATGATTATCTTGACTTGCCCAGAAAAATCACTATTTCATTTTCCTTCTTCCACCTTGGTCACAATAAATATTATCTTCTTTTCTACTTTTATTTCTATTAAACCTATTTCAAACTTCTCACGAAAAAAACCTGAATATTCATAAATTTGTTGTAAATTAATTAAAAAAAAAAAAATTTTCGACTAAATCAATTTGCTGTTTTTTATTATTACTAAAGAGGTACCATACCATTATAACTAATGATTGATTTCTAATCATAAATCTACTTGTATTTTACAGCGCTAAACTATAATAGTATTATTAGTAGCGGTTTGTTTTATTTTAATTCATTAAAAACTATTTGAAAAAATGTTTGCACTTTATCCGTTCATAAATATGTGAATTCTACACAATGTTTCTGTGGCCGTTATAAAAGTGCGTAGGGTTGTAAAAAAAAAACCTAACAATTCTATTACAGCGAACCGATAAAAGAGACTTTTCATAATAAAAGTCTTGCAGCTTGGAAGAATAAAGTTTTCAAATAAAAAAGACAAATAATAATTATTACTTTCAGGCATATAGGATATTATATTTCATAAAAAGTATAAAAAAAAGTAATCAACATTATTATAATATGGAGTGGGTTTATTTTTATGATCTTTGTACAAGCATATAGGAATTTTTGACACTTTACAATAACTTATTATAGTGCATCAATATATAGACATGTATTTTACAGGTTTTCGAGAGAACTAAAACGCTTCAGCAATTTAATGCCCAATCATCCTGCCAAGATCTACAGGCGGTCTTGTTGATTTTTAACCAAGCCTGTTTCGCGAAGAAATACTCACACAAGTTGGACAAAAGCAAAATGTGTTGCCTGACCGGCGCCCCGTGAAAATTAACTGGATTTCGTTGAAAATACACAAAAACCACTACTATAATATACATTTATATTGTAATTCACACGATAATAATATTATATTATGTTGTCACGAACGCTCCGAACAAACAAAATGCATTTTTCTACTTCTTATCAGCTTATCAGTTGATCTTCTTATCAATAATTTCTTATCGGTCACACGGAAATTTCCTCTTATCATAATTACATTCACGTTAATCACTATTCTTTCGCCCATCCCTTCGGCTACCCCCCCCCCCTATCCTTTGTGTACCAAAAGATTCACTCGAATTTTCGGCAGGCCCCTAGAATATTATTATTATTCATGTCAGCATATAGAAATAGCTTTGTAATAACGTTATCGAATTTGACTCCTCGTGTCGGCAGGCAACCTTGAGCCTTCTACTCTGTCGGGAGTACACTGTATAATAATAATTAACTGTCGCCATTGAACAGAATAGCACTGTTAATTAATTGGGGTTCAGTGTACGCGCCTACCGGCTCGCTCAAACGACCAACCGGAGGTTAATTAGCGGTTTTTACCGTACAAAGAGCACAAAACGTTTCACTCAATTCCCGGGCGAAAACCGCAAGTATCGCTTACACGTTTCTGTTGTCGTAAAGGGAGAGAGATTAATATAACAGCTAATATTCAATATTTTGCTACCAAGGGTGGACACTCAAATCTAACGCGTCGGACATACTTATCACTAAAAAAAAAAAAAAGTAGCGGCCATCTTTTGATTTATCAATCGGTATTGTGTTATTTCTATTCGTTAGTTGTGTATAGATATCATATTATGTTATGGTAAACGAAAAGATGGCCGTCTCCATCCGAAAATCATTGTTTACATTAAGTGTCGTCTCTGATTATAATATCTACTCTGTGAACAAATCGTCCAGTCTAATATCTTATCAATAATCCCTTATCAGCTGTTATCAAACAGTCTCTTATCAAACGTCACCGATTTCGTGTTGCAAATTTTGCATTGACATTCAGCCATAAGACATAATATTCGTGTCAAAAAGAAACGAAAAGAGGTGTTTACTTAGAGAAACTGACCGAGTACGCATTGTAACAGAAACCATAATATCATACCAAAATAATATATCTATAAGCGATGTCAAGATGCATATTATTTATTATAAAACGTACACTCATGTCTATAATTAAAGCTGAAAAAAAACCTAATGAAATGATCGATCAGCACAAATTGTACCGTGATATATTATATACTTGATATTATTATATTTTTCCAGCGAATTATAGGTTTGTTTTTGGTGTAGTCCACTTCCGACTTTAAGTTGATCGGCTACACGAATAAATCATGTTTTCCTGAATAGATTTTTATTTTAGAAAATATTCAAAGCTTTGTTAGGTTTATCCAAAGCGGTCGGTAGGCTTTCCAAGAACTCGAGTAAGTACATAACGAAATATAATAAATTCTTTTTTTTTTTTGGAAAGAAGACAGCTGACAACAGCTTAGAACCCGAATCGTCTAAGGTTTTTTTCATTCAATAGTAGCCAATAACATAAACTCGGTTATTATATTGTCAGCAGCTATTTTTTGTACAAATAATATAAGGTTTTTTTTTTATTATGTAGGTGCTAGGGTTATTCATTTTTCCGAAGCACTTCATGTAGTTAACAACATGTTTAATACAATTTATTATTTTGACTGCCCAGGTGAGGTTTTTTTAATCCTGGATTTAAATATATATTTTTCCCAAAAAGGTAGGTAAGCAAATTATTAATTTCATGTCTAAATTTTTGAAAACTCTAGTTTCAAATCGAAAAAACTTGTTTCGTTCACTTTTTATTTTCAAGCAGCCTTTATTAATGATCAACGTTGAACTTTGATATTAATGGAAAGTATTTCTAATGTCGGCGGCACTTAAAAAAAAATGTTTTTTCGCCTTCAAGTTTGGCGTTGATTATTTAGTCTTTAAGATTATTTTTCATTACCCCAAGACGAGTGATTCAGGTACACAATAGTACAAATAATTGTTCTCAAAGAAAACCACAACAATGGATTCCTATCGTCCGGGGCTGGCAAAGAAAATATTTTATTGCTGTTGCATTTGTTTGGAAAGTGATTAATGATCCACCGTTGGTTGTTCAAAATGTCAAACTGGAATGAACTTAAATGTCTCGTCATACTTGGGTTAACAATGTTTTTCGTTATCTTGTGGCGCATAAGAAAGTATTCTGAAAATGGCCTGAAAAAATTTAAATTGTCAAAAAGATGGGAAGCAATAAAATTATACGAGTACGTTATAATATATATTACATTAATTATCCATCGTACAGGATTGGTTTAATATTATTTCATCAGCTATCTAATTTTACTACTCCGAAAACTTGGGTCATTTACTAGAAACTTCTTCGTACTGGAACTATAAAGTGAATGTGACACATTGAGTCGGATAAAAGTAGTTGTTTTAACTTTATACGGTTTCTTACTATTATACAGACAAGCCTTGTCGTTAAATCATAAGAAGAAAGTCTAAAAAAAAAAAAATTATGGACATTAATCGAAAATCTATTAGTAACTCAATTTTTTTTGTACTTATGACTTATGGTAAAAAATTGTACTGCAAACATTCTTGACTCTTGAAAATGTTGAAACTCTAAGTCCAGTCAAACGGATTCTGTCTCGTTTCATTATAGTCTGCTTGGTTAGTTTGTAAGGGACTAGCTGTTCCAATTCGCCCAACTATAATGAAAATAAATAAAATCTCAATAAATTAAACAAGACAAATAGAAGACTTTTTTAACCATGCTTAATATATTTTGTTTTGAAAAAAACATGACCAAATAAAGAAAAAAATAAATCGTGCTTTTTTAGCAATACAAATATATTCAATAAGCTCAGCTTATTAAAACGTATGAAAAATGTAGGTAATGAGTTGTTTAAAAAAAAAAAAGGCTAAGAACAGATAAAACAAAATTGTTGAGACATTGAGTTTATTTTGAAATAGTTCTACAATTTTTAAAAAATACATTAACTTGATTCTTTAAATGATTCTTATCCTGGCACCCATAAACACACATAATCTGTGATCTAAAAATAACTAAAAAGAACAACATTATATTTTGTTATCAAAGTTTACACAAAAAATATCTTTTTCAACCTTCAACTTTTACCACGTGTCGGGACCATGTGGGCGAAGTTTTTTTTTCCAGATGGATGTACACAAAATATATTGTGTATTACATTTTTGCACAGAAAATCAATAATAATAAACTTTTAAAAGTCATTGTTTTCTCAATAAAAACTAGACAAAAAGTATTAAAATAGTATGACACGTGGAAAACCATGTGGAAAATAGTTCCTCCTGATTGGTTATGTATTAAAAAAAAAACAAGTATGACACGCGTAGAATCAAAAACAAAATATTTGATAATTTTTCTACAAATTAAATAAAAACATTATTAACAGTTCATTAATTACTTACAAAATATGAGCTTATAAGATTATTTTTATTCAACTAAATTGTATGGTTTGCGTCATTATATTAAAAAAAAAATTGTAAGATAAATTTGAAATTTGGCAATGTCATTAGTTATTAAAATTTTTAAAAGTAAACTGATTCTGCCATTTTTTACTTATTTTTGCCCTGTGAATTTGATTCCGGTAATTTTTCGGAGGAAATTTCTAAAAGTTAATTTAAGAGATAAAAAAAATAAAAAAATGGTCTCAAGAATTAAATTGTTTTGGTACTTGATGATTGTTAGCTTCTTTCTTTCAGGAGAAGAGAATGGTAATTAGGACTCTTTGCATTATCCATACATCAGCAAACCATCTCAGGGCAATGCACATCATAACCTATAAAAAGTCTCTTCGACAGTTTTATTTAGAATGTAGAAAACCGAATATTTGTCAAGCTTTTGTGTTTGCCTTGAGCTTATTTTCATCGGGCACTGCTAAACGCGGTGACCGTTGTAAAGTATCAACGGCGGGGGGGCAAAGGGCTAGGCCCCTATTTTTGGATTATGATAGAAGAGCAGTTGTCAATTGTTATACCCGTGGGTAAATGGTACCAAGATGTTCATGTCGATATTACCTATAAATGTAGTCGCCCCACCCACAGGTATTGGTTTTACCGCCAAAGCCTAATAAATATATAATTTTTTTTTTTTTTTGTAGTCGATAAGTTCATTAACGTTGTTCGGTGGTCAGATGGAAATGACCTGCCGTCGAGTGGACTGACCAGAGATGGTCTCGATAGCCTTGAAATTGATGCGATGATCATACAACTATGGTAGGTATGATGTTCCTAATACACACTGTTTGCTAGCAGATTTTCCACATCCATAACGCGTTAAACAGTTCGGTACCGAAGACGTGGCCAACATGAATCCCACGACTTATGTGAGCGTCTTACAAACAAAATTTTTCAATCGGTTAATGTTTTGAGTTTTAACAAGCTTTTTAATATTTTTTTGTAGATTACAGTAATCGTCGTAGCGGTCGCAGCTCAAGCCGACAGCGCAATAAGAAATACAAAAGAAATTGTGCAGAACCCGATCAATGCAGAGTTTGTAGGTATAACGAATATTGTTTTATTTGCAGTAATATAAATTATTTTTAAATTAAATATACATCACACTTTATTTCTTTTTATCGCAATCAAATTATTTGCTACCAAAAAAACAAAATATATTGAATAACAGATCATTAACGTTGGGCTTGTCTGAGGTTTTTTTTATGCATGTTTAAAATAGAAATACATATAAAACAAAATACATCCTATTTGGAGTTTTTCGATTAATCCAAAACAGGTATTAGATTTTTTCTAGCGCTTACTTTTTTCTACTGACAACGCAGTAATTTAGAATTTGCTTTTGTGTTTAAAAAGGTACTGCAAAATTCAGCAAAGAAACAAAATTAAAAAGTTTATTTCAAATTCATTTTAGATCATGCTGGAAAATCGTGAGAACTAAAAACACAATTGTAAAATCAATACTGTTTTTATTGTACCTTTTGTGATACCTGTTTAACATATTCCTGCAACACCGTAGCTGTAATTGATTTGCATCAATGCATTTTCTGGAAAGTAATTACATTGAAATTATGTCTAATAATGCTTTAAAATCGGCGACTGCTTTTTATTGTCACAATATTGAAAAAACAAAACGTAAATCCGTCTTTTATAAATGTAAATTATTTGCCATTGTTCTTTCGCCGAAGACATGGAAATCACTGCCATTTGAAATTCGCATTGTTCTTCTTTTATTAGAATTTTATTTTCTTCAGTTATTTTCTTAGTTCGAAACAATTGAATTATTTATTTATAACCTCTTATTTTCGCGTAGATTAACGCTTAAAGAAAATTGTTGAACAGAATTTCGCAAACAAATTCTTTAAGAGCCTTATTAATAATTTCTATGGAAAGTTGAATTTTTATTGTTCTAGTTATATAAATTTTAAAGCTATTTTTCAATGAATTAAGATGATTTTTCGATAAAAAGTCTTTTTGTCGAATTCGGAGTAAAAAAACAAAAACGTTTTGTTTTTATTCAATTTGAGTGCAATAAAAAAATAATAAATTTTTGGAGGCTTTTTATCACATTGGAAAATATTATACACAAGTCTTATAATATTTTCAACATTTTTGGAAGTTACTATCACTGTTGAGTTCAGATAATTAAAGAAAAACATCTAGACGAGATTAAGATTGTTCCATAATTATTTTTATTTAAACAAAAATAACAATGAATAAATACGTTTTTAACTTGGTAAAGCTTTAGATATATGTTTTTTTTAATGACAAAAAAGATAATTATTTATTTTTTTATACAATAAATCTTTGGCTTTATGTTGAAGTATTACATACAAATACTAATATCCACTAACATGATGCATATAAAATATAGCTTAAATCTATTACTTTTAGTACAATTTGTAATTAATTCTATAACTTATTTTGTTCATTTATAAATAGGTTTATCATTAGTTTTGACGGATAGATTTTTGGTAAATTGTTTTTTGATCTACTATCTTAGAACTGTTAGAACTGTGTTAGGTTTTTGAAAAAGAAAAAACCCTTATACATATAGTAATACGCCTATTAGACTTATATTATCTTTAATTTATAATTTAACTTAACCTAACCGGTAAAATATGAAAAAGATAATGTAAAAATATTGTTACAATATTAAACAAATTGCAACACAATTTCAAACTATATTTTTGCTGTTTGGGTAAGTGATGCATACATTTCTAGGCCATAAATCCAACACTTTCTTTCTGTTGCTTTTCCGATTCTGTCTCAACTCCCTCTCCATACTTGTTCACTCCTCTCCTGGCCAAACAAAGCCTAAAAAACACTGGCATGCTTTGATTTTTCAGTGTTTAGACGTTGAAATTAACATTTGTACTAACCCCTCAATCCAATAAACGGTCAATGCTGAATTTTTCTTTCTTATTTTTCAGATTATCCGAACTACCCTAGTGTAAACAATCTCGCATATCGTCATGGACCCAACGGGCCAGCATATTATGATCTAGAAAATCCTGTGGACGATCATTACTATCAACAATTTCCATTCCAGCTGATCGCCTACCCTTACGGTGACCTGCAGCTGTATGGACCGCCACGACAATTGAGTTACCAGCAACAGCAGTACGGAATTCCCGGTCCGTACCGACCACTACCACCGGGAACTTCAAGTCCCGGCACTGTGCCCATCCATCCGCCGGTTCCTCATCCGTTTTACCATGTACAAGGGTCACATTACCCAGACACTACGACCGAGCCAGCCAAGACCACCACGACGGAATCCAATGTAAAGCCAAAAGCCAGTAACTAACAACATTAAAGTGACTAACAACAAGGATATAAGTCACACATTTTGTTTTCTTAAAATAATCGAAATTGTTTAGTGTTTTTGAAAACAGTTTTCAAGTTAATCAAACGCACATGCACTTACCGTTATGAAAATGTTTAAAATGTATAAAGCTTTGGGGAAAAAAAACCAATTTTAATATTGTCTAATATTGTAAAATAACATAAACTGTGTCCATAAAAGAAAAACTGTAAAAGAGAAAATTAGTGGCTCACAATCCACCCTGTATATATATACATTTATATATTATATATGCATAATTATTATGAATATAAATATAGGGTTGATTATATAATAATAATAATTTTAGATACACACGGTTTGATAGAGTAAAATATTTGGTTCAGCCAGACGATATCCGACTGAATTTAATTATTATATATTTTATAAACAACGATAGTACTTATTTTCTAAAATATATTAAATAAAAACTAAAGCAATAATTTGTATTCACCTAATAGTGTTAAATTTAGTTGGTGTTAACCTGGTCTATTATTATCTACCAGCGCGGCGTTATATTTTGCGCGAACTTTGAAAAAAAAATTATAAAAAATACTCAGGCTACACTTAAGCCCCTAAATTTACTCTTATTCGAAGGCTAAGAACATTTACTATAATATTATGTAGATTTTAAAAGTCAACATTTTCCGAAACCCTCTCGGCAGGGGACTTAAACCAAAAAAGTAAGACAGTACAGCAGATCACTATAGACCGCATTAAAAAAATATAATTAAAAACACTTAGACCTCTCTGATATACACCATTTTGATCTCATTCGAAAGCTAAGAACATCTGCTATTATTATGTGTAGTTTTGAAAAGATAAAATTATTACCTCGCCAAATGGAGTATGAAGCTGTTTACAACTGTTCTGCTTGACCCTAAATTGAATGTCAGGCTTGTTTTATGGAAATTTGCCTATGATTATAACACTGGCAAAGATAAAAAATAACTACATCATAATGTTATATGAATAATTTTTAAGTTTTATACGTTTGTATTGAACATTTTTGCTATAGCCTATAAATAATTTTTTAAGTATTTGTCTCATTTCACCGTTGTACTGTTTAATGTAATAATAATAGTACGCATAGTGTGTGTTCCACTTAGCTTATTGACATAATTAAAGCGTTTTTAAAACTCAAAAATTATTCGTGCGACATTAAATCTGTGGTAGGATAACAGAAGCTGGTACGTCCTTTTTTCCAAATTTTGGGAAAATACAATTAAAGGTTTTCAGCAAATTGTATTCTCATTTTAGTGTTAGCTTGCATCTTAGCAGAAACGGTTTAATAATTCAAGCACTCGGCCGTACAATATTTTGCCACTTTGATTTCAAAACATATCCGAGGTACGATTAGGTAAAAATTGACAAAAAGCTGCATATCAGGCAGAAGCTGATACACGTTATGGCTGAAGAGCAAGTGGTAAAATAGAGTGTAGAATTTTAAGTAACTGATGAGACTATCGGTGATGTGTAACGCTAAGCGATTAGGTTACATAGATGGAACTCATAGTAAGACAAATAAGAGATAGTAGACTGATCGATTGATCGATGTGTATATTGAAAGAAGGAAGGAAAATAATATAATTTTATCTGATCCCAGCACAGAGCAATAGTTATACACAGACATTGGATTAGCATGATACTATGGTCTATTGAAATAATTTGAGATTGCTCTCAACCGGTCTTAACTGCCTTGACTGCTTTGCTCTCCGACGGGTCTTCGTCGTCGTACGTTTCCAGAGGTTCTCCTAGCCGATGTGACTCGACGTCGTCTTCGATTTCCGAATGGAACGGCTGATCGTCTTCCAGGTTTTCGGCCATGTCTTCGGTGTCGGGGCTTTCCTCCACGCTGTACGAATTGGCCGCGGGGGTGGTGGAGGTAGGCACGATCAGCTTGCCGGTATTTTTCGATCCATAAAAATACCCATTGACCGGCATCGTCGGGATGGGCGCGTAGTAGATGAGCTTTTTGTGATGCGGCTTCTTCGGTTTGTGGTGGTGACAGTGTTCTTTGGGCTTCTTTTTCGGCTTTTTCGGCTTGTGACGATGACAGTGTTCTTTGGGTTTCTTTTTCTTGGGTTTGCACGGTTTGCGGTGGCTGGGCATCATTGGCGGACGAACGGGACGACGATGGTGGTGGTGCTGGTGGGGTTGGCGGGGCGCCCAGTGGAAGGGCACTTGCCGGGTTATGATCAACGGCCGGTGTGGATTCCGAACCAATATGCTCAGGTCGCGCATTGGCCTGACCACCCTGGGACCGCGACTTTGCTGTTGACTTTGGTAAACCGGATCCAAAGACTTGTCGCGTTCCTTGGGCACCAACGAGATGTCCGTCTTAATGGACACCTCTTTGGTTTTCTTCACTCTGTTGTAGTCGTCGCCGTCGTCGTCGCCGTCGTCGTTGTTGACGGCATCTTCGAGTTTATCCGGCCGCCGTTCGTACCTTTCGGCAGAGTCTGCAGCATTGTACCGGGATTCTTCGGTTCTGGGGTCTTCCGTGGCCTTTGGCCGTGCCGGTTTGCTCGCAGCGCTAGGCACGTGCTCGTGGGACACTTGGCTTGGGAAACCCACGGGGAAATGCTTGGCATAGCCAAAGGCGTTGAATCCGTAACTGCGCGTGGGTCTGTTGTTTTCGGTTTTGGACGATTCCGGGGCAGAACTGCCGTTGTTGACATACTCGCCGTACGCTAGCACCACTAGCCAAAACAGAGCCGACTAAAAAATCATTAATCGCAATATTCATTAAAAACCTAATCGACAGTGTTGAGAAAATAATCCCAAAATTATTATTTATCTAGATAAAAATGTTTTAACTATTATCGTATCTACATGGCGATTCGTCTGATGTATGACACTCATTTTCTCAGAAAATATGAGTATTTTGAAAGTCATTTTTTCCTAAACTTTAATTAAAACCATATGTTCTCAATTTGAAAAAAACAAAGTATACTTCTGTTACGTATAAGCGATGAAGATGTTAAATTGATCACCAATTTCACAAAGGAAATGTGTTAAACTCTTAAACTTAAATGATCAATTAATATGGTAGTAATACATTTATAATAAACACACATTATACGACAACGATGGAACAGATTTTGATATTACTAAAAAGAGTTGAGCTGACTGCCGGCTAATCAATATAATAGGTGGTATTCACGTTAAAATAATAAATTTCAAAAATCATGTATATGCTTAAAATCTGTTATTTTTTATATCAAGTAGTATTTTTATGTAATACTTCTTGTTCAAAACGGCCAAACCGTATTCGAAAATTAATCTCTCCTACTTTTAATGCTCATGTAACCGACTAGTATACACACAATTATTTTCAATTAGTTATGAATAACGTTACAAATTGTGCGATAAGTTTCAAATCTGGCGTTGCATAACGCTTTGGGTTTTTGAATTCTGTCTATCATAGGTTTGTGATATTTAGAACTAACTGCTCTGATTTTGTGTTAAAAAGTAACTATGTATGTTAACAATCATCAAAGGTACCAAAATCAGTTACTTAACTAAATTGTTAAGTCTTTCAATGAAAATAAAAGGGTTTGAATTCAACGTTAGCGGGGGGGTGCTTGGGATACTAAAAACCTGAAGACTAGTGCTTTTCAAAATACCTACAATTTATTTTTTTAGTGAGAAGTTTGTTGAACAGGTACATAGTGGAGTATAGGTATACTCACCGATTGTAGTAAGTCCATCGCCGAACACGGTACTCATGACGACCTATCCGCCGTGTGTCCGGCAAACATGATGCTAATGATACAGAGCCTAAGTACACACTGTCATTGGACAGGTGAGTTCAACGGATCTACACACAAGACACTGGCAGTACACCACTACCACTACCACGTCAAATGGACCGTGTCGCGCGTTCGGTCAGGTACAAAGTTTTGGTTTTTCGGTCTTACCGTTTGGTTTTCCCACAGTATTCTTACGTCATGCGTCTGCACACCGTTTGCCGGTATGACTGTGATGTTTTTTTTTCGAAGACAATAAAAAAAAATCACAACATCAAGTGATGTAACAATCACGGCTGCAGCGTATAGCACCGCAGTGTCTAATCGGAACGAAACGACGATGGTTGGGTCGATTTCAGGAAGTTTGGAAATCACTCACTGGACACGACCGTGTGCAATGAAAAAAGAAAAAAAAGAGAGGGGGGGGGCCGACGATTCGACCGTTTGTATATTAAGTATTATATATTATATTGGGTATTTTTAAAAATTGTTTTATATTGGGATTTTCGATTTTATAGGTACAATTTATCTCAAAGATTATATGTATACGATCGATATTATGAAAAATGTCTTTTCCCCCGTTCTACAATAAATTAGTATCACCGGGTCATGGTCGCTGATGGGTATTCACACGGGAAACACGGCCGATTAACTCTGCGAAAGTGAGAACCTTTTCGAATATAAAAAAACATTTACCGGCTGTTTACACGCCCAATAAACGTATTAGAACCATATCGGTTTCTGTCCCAACAACGGCCTATCTCTGAACGACATCAGTATTATTATTACAATTATTAGTATTCGTGTCTTAGCGCAAAAATCAAATCAACTGTAATAATATTGTCACAGCACTTTCTAAATGGTTTCTGCTGCTGTGTGCCTGTCCGTCGAAAGCCTAAACGGGTTCTAACCGTTTTTTATTGTAATAAACATAACTAAAATAGAATAAAACCGTTATTGTACTAAAAACAAATAATATCAAACATAATGTTTGAAAGAAACTCGATATTCAACACACCTTGGCCATTTACTGATAACTGAAACCCACCTCAACTTAGTGTGACCACGTTATAGAAATGAAATTATCGTGCAAAAAATTAACTGTCATTTTAACATATTGTTGTCAAATAACTTTTATAATTTATCGGTGATAACAATATAAATATTTACAGCGATGCTGAAACAATAATTTCTCATAAAGAATTGTCTTTTTCTACCACTGAGTTACTCTGAGTCTCGGACTTTGAATCATTTTGAATAATATGACGAATTAACAGAAGTAGCTGAGGAATGTTTTTGAAAATGTATTTAAAATTTACCCAACGTTGTAGTTAACTATTGGCAAATGAAACATTTTAGAAACGGTCAACTACAATACTTAACTTATAATCTTTATTCAACGTTTGCTTGCAATTATTTTCTAAGACTTTTTTCCAAAACGTTTTGCCGTTTGTTTATTTAAAAGATGAAATTCTAGTTAAAAAAAAACATCATAAAAAGGTTTAAAATTGTTTTATATAACATGAAGGGCTGCGGGGAAGAAAGATCAATGTCAATTTTTTTTGAAAATGAGATTTTGGTATCAAATTATTTATATTGATGTATTGTATTTTTTATGCACTCGAACCAGGGAAAAAAACAAATTAGTCGAGAGTAACGACCGCCGGAAGTTTAAGCATACAGGCAAAATGTAATACGTTTTGAAATTAAAAACATGATTTTCTCAGAATGTTGAAAAATTGTCATTGATCTTTTTCCCCGCAGCCCTTCATATGTTAAAACTATTTCTTTGATACTCAGAACCCATAACTTCCATAGAAAGTAGTAATGGGAAGATATATTATTACATATTTATACATTTTTCTGAAACATTTCTCGTTTCTAGAAATCATTATATTTTAAATTGAAACCGTTTATTTTTATACGATGATAGTAAAAAAAAAATGTCACAAATAATAAAAATGTGTTATGATTTAATTTTAAGTTGTAACGAATTCAGATTTCATTGAACACATTTTTTTGGTTGAGTATTTTCCCATTATTTTAAGGAAATTTTCGGCGATTTTTTAACTCTGGTCTTCACTAAATCCAAGCAAAACAAGCACAATAAAAACCACTACTATAAATACTTGCTTTACTTAACAGAATCAAAGTGCGTTTGTGTTGTTTGTATTTTAAAAGTTAATCGCGTGGAGGATTGTGAAATAGATGAGACGCGTGTAAAAAAGGATTAAGGAGACAGATAACACTTTGATGGGATAAACCAAGAATGAGTCTGTTTGCTTACTGATAAGCCATAAAAGGTAGTCTTATTGTTACCTTTAAAATTTGTTGTCGTTTTCCAAAGGGATTTAAAATAATATCTATACCGTAGTGAACAGAGTTATAATATTAATATTAGATTAATGTCTTTTCAAAATGTTTGAACAAATGTTTTGACCTAAAACAACATAGTTAATACTTTACTGTAACCCTATCCTTTGGAAACTTTTCTCACTCAAACATAATATTGATTTATTATTAAACAGCACTTAATAATAATTATTCATGCTTATTTTTGTTTTTTGAAGTTTGAATAATTATTTTAATTTTGAATACTTATTTGGAACATTTCAATTGACGCCGTTTAATAAGCTACAAGTATGCAATTGGGAATTTCACGGACATTGATTTTCAGTTATAAAGTACGATTAAAACATTTTTTACCTAAGGTATATATATTTTTATGTTTACCTTAGTTGTATACATTTTACAATAACCACAAGCGATGGTTATTATATGTTTAATGGCAGTTGGCTTGCTTGAAGATTAACAGTTCATTAACAGAACTCCATTAACCTAAGGTAAGATCAACAAAAACTCATTTGGCAAACAAATTGTTTTACAGACTCGTTTTGTAACAATTATTTCAAACGAGCAAAGAGGTCTTGTTAAAATATTGTGAGAACGATTTGTCTTAAAATACATTTTAAACAAATAAGCATAAAATGGTGTTTAATATATTTTGTTTGCTCCTTCCAACGATTTTACGATTTTTTAAATAACACTTTTTTGTATTGTACGTTTAAAATAAAACGTATTCTTTTAAAATTAATTTGGTTTAATTATTATTTCTCCCCCACTAACGTTTCAACTATTTTGATAGTATCACAATTTTTAAAATTTTATTACACAAGAAGTTATTAAAAAAAAAAAAAAAGTTGTGTTAGTTGGGATTTTGTCGATTATGTTGCAGAAGGTGTTTGAATCGTTTGGAAGACTGAGAGAGCAGGATGATTAATTATTGTTTATCCGTCCTTTACTATTGTACAGCAGATACCTAATTGATGTGGGTATGAAAATGCAAGACCCTCGAGTTGAGTTTTGTAACAAGTTGATTCCACACACCACATCGTTAGCGTTTGTGGTAACATTGCAAATATTGTTGGCCAACTAGATAATTCTGCGGTCTAACATACCGTACACGTGCGCTTAGATATTGCTATTAACATATTATACTTAACACGCACTGTTTATCAGTGTCCTAAATATACAATATATTACCCAAACACCAAAAACAACAAACAAACATTTTATAATAATCCAAACCCGTACCGATTAGTCTTTATCGTGTTGTATTTTATACTTCTGTGTTGCTGATGTAAATATTTATTAATTATAACGTAAAATGTAATTATCACCCTTTAACGTGTCCCATTAGCCGACGAAACAGATGCTGAGGCTGCTAATAAATTTTTTTTAACAAATTATAATAATTTTATTATACGTTTATTTATTTCAACAGAAAATCAAATATCGATAACGCAAACTTTAAAAAAAAAAATATATCGCGTTGAAATTATAAAACAACTTGTTTGAAAACTAATATTGAAACATTTGATTTAGGTAGTGACAATATAAGAAATTAAAGTATTATTACACGTTATAAAAAAAAAACTTCGTTATTCAACAGCTGTTATCAAACAGTTATTATAAAATATTATATTATTTTCATGTGTATTACACTGTGCCGGTTTTATGAATACTTTGTGTATAGTTTTCTATTAAAAAGACTGAATACACAATTAATGCCCCTAAAATGGTTGTAATGATCATTTTTGAAAAGTGGGTTTGTGTCAAAAACTTATCGGAAGTATATTAAGAACTTAGAATATTTTACCTTTATTTAAAAACTATGTGTTATGTATGACTATATGACATGACAGTTTACAGAATATTTTATTGTAGTCTGGTTTATTTTTTACATTCCATGGCCAATAAATTAGAATATATCAATTAGTTTTTCACTCAATCATGAGTCGCTATTTTATAATAATTATAACCCTATGAAAGTATGTGATATAACCTAATGGTTAAGTTAGGAAATGAAAGAAAGAAAATAAGACGGAGAATAAAAGTAATGGATAGAAATAATTTTAATTATAAACTCGAAGTCAGACATCTAATTTAAAAAAAAAAAAATAGAATTTATTTCTATTAAAACAGCGATAAATAACAATATTATATTATAGCATAAATTATGACGGTATTATGATAAATGTTATAATGTAGGTCTAAGGTTGTAAATATATTTAATTAATAAAATTTTCAACTTTTGCAGGTCAAATAAATAATGTCAAAAACTAACTCATTCGGACAGACATTTATAACGAACAAAATTAGAAAAAAAACCGTTTGGTTCACATAAGCTGTATAAGTTATGGGTTTTCACCAACACCATTTTTGATTAGACCATAACAGCTAATTTATACCGTTCTTTTAAGTCGCCATTTATAAGAAAAACAAAAAAATAACTCAAACGATTTAGTGGTAATAATTTCAAATTAGGCGACTGGATAATTTGTTTTTGTGTCTAGACTCGACTGTTGAGAAGTAGTGCATTTCTTTCAAGACCGTATAATTATTTGAGTAAGAATTGCGCATATTTTAACAGTATATTTTGAAGAAAAAAAATGTTTACAAATAATTTGGCTAAATAATAATTGAAATTAAATCTCAAACGTAAAAGAGCGCACGTACACTTAATTGAATAAAATAATAAATACTCTAGTAGTGTACCTAATACTTTCATTAATATAAAATAAGTATGAAGGAGGAGGTGCATTGAACATACAAGAAGAAAGCAATTGGTTATTAATTTTATTATTATTAAGTTTTTTGGAAAAATCTATATTATAGTACAATGTATACTGACAGATGGCTTTCATAATATATAATATATCATACATTTTTTATTATTATCAATACTTGAGCATTGAGTAGTACTGCAGGGTGATCAATCAAGTATAAGTCACTCGTTTACTTTAAAAATAATTTCAATTTTGTAGTTTTTCTTTTAGTAAATACTTTATCCAACTAACCATACATTTTTGATGGCAGCGTTGGGCCTTAAACACCTGTGTTAAACTGATGATGTTTGTCTGTAGCTTATTTTTTAGTAAATATTTTTGTCTATGTTGTTCTGCTATATTATAAAATTACTAAATCTTTACATTCTTCAGTATTTTCCATGAGCTCTATAAAACGGTTCTATTTAATGGCACTCAAGTCTGTTCGCGGTCTCTGACAAAAATCGGCAAACGGTCAATCGAATTGGCCGACGAACCGTTTCAAACGTATTAAATTTAAATGACATTGGCACTACTATACCGGTGCTGTTGTTGTTTCTGTAAAAGCCTTGGGTGCGTTTTCACCGACCTTAAGATTAAGCGGGGCACTTCCTGTTGTCGCCCGAAATAAATATCAACGGTCCGGATGATCCTGCACGATTCACAGCCAAGATGTTGCGACAACTCACAGCTTTAGTCCTGCTCGGTCCCGGCAGTTTGTTGGCTTTCAAACAGTCGACCAGCCACCAGTCGAACCAACAGTCGGAGTACAGCAAAACATCATCTCGTGAGTAAACCTTTAAGATTGCTTGCTACCTTTTTGCCAGACCATTTTTCTATAGAAAATTGTACAACTATTATTTATTCCAAGTCGAAATAGATTTGCCAAAGTTTTTTGGAATTAACTTCGACATAACTCGAAAACCCGGTTGTTTAAAATTTCCAAAAGAAAAGAGATAAATATCCGTATAGATTTTTCATCGACAACCCGCGTCTTCCTTCCCTCGTCGTCCTATCTAAGAGCTATATCTGATTAATAAATATTATACCGCACATAAAGGATTGGGTTCAGAGGTATCTTGCGAGCTCAGAACAAACAAACACACGTTCACATCATTATTATGTAATCAATGTTTATCTCTCGGTTCGCTATCGATTTTGACATTGAGTTCTTTTAAAGTATTTACTCTGAAGCTGCCAGCCTTTTTCTACCACAGTTATATAAATAGAAAAAACAATGCAAGTCTAGAAAAGCAATATAAAACTTCTCTAATTTCGTATCGGTTTCCGAAGCTTCCCACACAGTACAGCAACAAATTAGAAATAAGCTTTGTTATTTTTATGCTATGCTTTTAAATTAAGAAAACACTTTTCTTTTTGCTAAAAACATTTTTGTAACGTCAAATCACGTGGCAGCTTAGTTTTTTATGTTTTTGTTGAATTAAAGTAAGGATAATATTTTTTTTTGTTTTGAAAATAATTTATGTATGCTTGTTTAAGTCATAAGTCAATTAGGAAAACTAGCTTTTATAAATATACTATTAAAATATTTTTATAACTTGATTTCGAGCCAAGTTTTAAGAACCATTTAACGTTTTAAATAGTTTAAAAAAATAATGTATAAGTAGGTCTTTGTTTTGTGCAGTTTATTATAATTTAATTGTACAACATAACGGGTTAAAAACGAATTATAGAAATAGTTCTAGTATTAAAAGAAAATATTACTTTAACAAAACCTTTGCATACATTTTTTTTTATTTGATAATTAGGAGTTTTAATATTTTAATGAAAAAAAAATGATACTTAATATCTTAATTATACGATAAGTACTTGTAAATTATAAAAACTTTTAGGTTTTGTTACAAGTTTATTAAGAGCAAACTTTTAATCAGATTATTTTGAATCGAATAACTAGATTTTCTGTTTAAAACAAATTAGCATTATTATTCCAACAAAGAATATAAATTAAGTTTAACATTTTTAATACCTACCAACGAGTATACAATTTACGGGTAAAACCGTTGTACGATATTTGATTCAAAACGATTTTCAAGAGTATTTGCATGCATTCGAAATTGCACCGACAACTTACGAATGTCACTTATATTAATGATATGTCAATCCGTATGTGACAGGTCATTAAAACTTGTTGTATATAATTTGATACATCCAGTTGTAAGCCAAAAGTGTAGTTCATTGTGATGTACTGCCATGCACATTTTTGTGTATGTCTTGTCAATAACTTCCCAGCAATTGTTCTGTAATTATCCATTTACCCTTATCAATTTTCCATCCACACTTATCACCATCCCATCCCCTCCACTGTCTCTCCCCCATTCACAAGACATTATCTTGTCGAAAAAAGGAAGAGGGTCAAACGAAAGTAAACAAATAAATCAACCTTTCCTATTCAGCTGATTTTCTGTCTCTTATCTATCATGTTATATTATCGCCCGATCACACGTTTACTCAGTGAACAAATCTAATCTCTTATCACTAATCTCTTATCAGCTATTATCAAACGGTCTCTTATCACACGAATTACATGTTTTCGGAGTTTTCCCAACGCGCTGTAGTTGTTTACTTAATGGGAAAATACTATGTTTCAGACCAAAGCAATCACGCCTACAGTCACAGCAGTCAATCGTCTCACGGGCCTGGGTACAGCTACAGCTACAGCTATCACACCGACCACGGATCGCCTTACCTGACAGAGTATGCTCCGTACTACCATTCGTACAACTCGCCGCTGTTCATCTCTCCACTCTTGCTAGACCTGGAACTGGACAGCGACCTTGACGACGACCTGGACTTCTACATAGACACCGACCTGGACTTGGACTTGGACTTGGACTTCCCCGGAATCGACTATGGGTTAGGGTACATCGGCAAGTACGGACACTGGTACAGGATACCCAAGTACGGATCGTCCAAACTGTACAGACACTACGGCGGGGACTTGTCACATTACGGGGGAAACTACGGGTACAGCAGTTTGGGACTGTCCAATTTCGGGTCGTCGTTGGACTTTTACAGAAGATGATAATATAAGATTTTGACAATTTCAAAAACCCGACCAACAACTAACAATATATTATTAATATATATATGTATGTATTAATGTATATATACATTTATATTACAACTATTTATCGCTATTTATTAATCGAATGATTGAAAAAAAAAAAAACATTTTAGACTTTTTGGCTCATCAGTCGTCTATTAATAAATATCTATTTGTACTAATAATGATTAATTTGTTATTCAAATAAAAGCAATCGTGTCAACGTGTAAATAACTTGCGGTGGCGTTTAATTGTTGTACTTATTATTTGAAATGAAAATAGAAACGTTTTTGCAAATAGGTTCAAACAGTAGGTGTAATCTGACGTCGATATTAAATACCTACTAATAATATTATTATCAAATTAGCGGTCTTGAATTATTATAAAAGTACTTTGTTTCGGTTCGTTTGTTTTAATTTGCCAATAAAAATCATTATTATAAAACGGAATTGGCTTGTATTTGTTATTGATGAGAGCGGAAGTGTTCTCTTTTCCACTCGAGCGCTTTTACAATGAAAAAATCTCAATGTATTTTTAATTGCTGTACCGAAATGTCAAGGAACAAAAAAAATATATAAATTACTTGGCCAACAATAATCATCGTACCAACTTCTGATTGTTACAAACAAAAGAAATGTGTAACAACCTTTTACCATAGGTAACTATATTACTTTTTTGGAATATAGTAACAGTTTATTAAAATTGTGGAAATGTCAACAACAATAACAGAATTATGTGATATACAAGATAAAGGCACTACAAATATACAAATCTTAATTAGAAATGTTTACCATTGTGTCACTTATTAATTTTAATTGTCCTAAAAACAACCACTTTAACCACATAAATGCTAAAATCCAAGTAGAATAAAAAATCGAAGCATGAAAGACGGAGTATATCTAATTTTTCTTCCAAATTAACTAGAAAGCATTCCCCAAGTTATTATTAGCAATGACCCTTATAATCTTAATTTATTATAACTTATCTTCAGGGTTTTCTAGTCTTAAGACTCACTAAGCAGTATAATATTACAGACACTCAGGTATATAAAGTATAAATACCGCATAGAAATATGTAAATCAATTTGATATATATTTTTACAGTAAAAATAAAACGTTAGATGACATTTATTTAAAATTTATTACAGAGTATATTTATAATAAAAATAATGGTATAATAACTAATAAAATAAAATGTTAAAAAATTTAAATGAAATTATAATAATAGGTATAATGCGCAATTATAGTGAATCTTATAGTATTATATTTTTACTAATCGGCTGGTAAATTAATAATTATTGTGGTTCATTCCACCTTGACTACCACCATAGTTCCCGGAACCTTGATTTCCTCCTGAAAATAAAATAAAAATAGTACATCAAATCGATTACAGTTTGTGACGGCATTGACAACTACATTATTATTTGCAATTTAAAACAGAACTTTTGTATTTTGATAACAACCTAATACTAGTACGAATGTCTTGTCAAACGTGATTTACTTCTTCACATTTTTTTGCTTATTCAAATACAAAAAAAAAAATCCATTTAAAAAAATACAAATAGTGTGTCTTAATGTTGCGAAGGGCATAACCGCAAATTGTTTTGATTTAAAATTGAAAAAAACTTGAATGTTTATTTACTAATGCGTTTAGTGTAGTTTTTAATGTTTAAATTGTTATGGAAACTGATAAATTTACAGCGTAAATAAATAAAAAACAACTTTTTTAAAAACATGTTTTTCTAAAAAATAGTAAAAAAATAATTTTACTCCAGGAATAATTTACCAATTAATTGTAGCACATTTTTTTAAAATGTCAATTACTTTGAAAACAACCGAAAATTAACTACAATTTTAAATTATGTTTAACATCTTTAATTTTTGACTAAAAATAAAAGCGTGAGCTCTATTCAACAGAGTCCCTCATTAATTTTTCAGATAATGTTTTATATTGTAAGTTTTCTTGTAATTTAAATTTGATTCAATATTAGTGTGAGACGTATACATTTCATAATACTTAACTCAATAAATTTGGACTTTGTTGAATAGGAAAGAAGAAAGTATAAAGAAAAGTATGTAAAAATGACGGCTGATTACCAAACATTTTTTTCTTAAAATTACTTTACGCTCGTAGAGAAATAATTGAAAAACGATTACATATTTTGTTCAATTAATTTAACGAATAATTGAATAAAGTAAAAACAATTGGTCAAAAACATTTCATAACGGAGATAAATGATAACAGATAAGTGATAAGATATAAATGATAAGAGATAATTGATAAGCGATATGAGATAACGTGTCCACGATTTAATTTTTTTTTCCGCGAAGCGAAGAAAATAACTAGGTTTTTTTTCTTTTTTTGGCATTATTTTTGTCATTCTCATTATGTTGGCATTTAGAGGTTATACTTACGTTTTTTATGCATCATAAAGTGCACGTTGGCTCCGGGTATGTTGTAATCGTAACCGTATCGGTCGGGTTCGTTGTAAACGTTTGTTTTGTAGGCCTCGGCGCCTTGTCCGGAACCGCCAGACTGCCCTTGCCGCCCTCCCCTGTTTTGCGAATATCCGTTTTGCCCGTTGCCACCTCCCCGTTGCCGCCGAAACCCCGTTGACCACCACCATTATTGCCTTGCATATGTTGACCATTACCGAACCCTTGATGCTGTTGTTGGTGTCTGCCACTAGCACCACCACCACCACCGAAACCACCGGGCTGATAACCGTTTCCAGACATACCCATTTGAGGGTTGGACCATTGGTTGTGACCTCCACCGCCGGGCTGAGGGTAAGACAAAACGTGGGCGACGAACAAAAACAAAAGCTAAAAAAAAAAAAATTAAAAAAATATTTATAATATACATTGGCTGAGATCAGGGGGAGGGGGCTTGGAATTCTAGAAACTTAAAATGAATGCTACATTTATTTTTATTTCAACTATGCTCTCTGTAAAACATAAATGTAGTTATTTCGAGAAGCACTAATTTTAAGTATTAAGGGGTTTCCTGTATCCCAATCAAAACCAAACAGTAGAAATAGTTAAGAAAACGATGATTAAATAATATTAAATATTGGTACGTTATAACTAAACATTGTAAATTGAGGAAACATAAATAATTTTGATATACGATAAAGATTATAGAACGTAAAACCATTTCAAATTTGTATAAAAGCTTATTTTTCAGTTTAAGTATGTATTTAGCTACCAGTTATTGTTAGTTAATGTTTTTTTGTTATTTGTAAATAAAAAACAAAGACAGTCAAAAAAGTTGAAAGCAACATAATATTTTTGTAATCATAATTTTGAAACTTTAAGAGTTCAGTCAGAATATATTAGTATTACTTAAATGATTCGTAAAAATTAAAGTTAGTTTAGTCACTTTTTTATGTGTTCCAAACGAGTTAATTATACATAATTCGTAGAAATAAATAAAAACTTGAATTAGGACTTGTGCAAAAAAAAAGAAAAAATGGAAAGAAGACTTACCGGGATTTAATGAAATATATTTAAATATTATTGCCTGAAAGTTTATATTTTTGAGTTTATACGGTTTACGACCAAGCGGTGGTATTTTTAATATTTTCTACAAAACCGCAGCAGATATTAATAAACTTTTAACTGGCTGAATTTCTGGTTAGTAAAATATTTTTAATAGTGTATAAAATTAACCTACCTTTGACACAGTTTAGAAACATAGTGAACAATGTCAACAGACTTTAACGTCGAATAATTAAGTTTTTTTTTCGCTATTAATAAATGAGTTGCTCGAGTGCACGAGACTTATAGTTAGTGTGAGTAATTTTGTAAAAAAAAGTAAAGGCAAAATATGTTAGATGAAGCAGCACACACCGAAGCGAACGAGCGGCTGAATGAGAATAGATTGTTCTAACGATAAGTAGGAAGTGTTTGCGAAGGAGATTAAAAAAGTTATTTCACTCAACAGTTTACGGTAGTTTTTTTTTTTAGAAACATTTTGATTGGCAAACGTGTGTTGCGCATTAACCTTTGTGTAGGTATTTCTTTTTCTTTCTAGATAATAATATAAAAACTTTTAACGCCATCACTTACGTCATAGGTGCACCTCGATTTTATTCTGTAACAATGTTGTCGTTTCATAGAAAAAGCTTTGTGTTTTAAATACATTCGGAGGAAATGGTCGACTTTGTGAGAGACCTACCGCAGTTTTATTAGAATTAACGGCTGTTCCGGATTTGTCACAATATGTGGGACGTGAGTGTGTTGGGATTCTACAGAGGGAACAAGTAAACAATTATATTGGTCTCCGGTGAATGAGAGTTTTATTTTGGAGGAAATCGTCCACTCGGAGAGCGCGACCACAATACTAATGTGAAGGTATTTGCTACTTCATTTGGGCTTAAAGTGAAAAATAGACTATTTACAGTAGAAGTAGAAAAAATATATATAAAATGTGGTCGTCCCACAAAAGGTAATGTGCAATATTGGGTACTATTATACATCTTAATAACGATCAAGGCCCACAACGCCAGCCGCCAGGGATGTACAATAAGTAATAACTATTGAACCCAATGGTTAATATAAATATTCACTCGAGTTACTTAAGTTCTAGGGAGTATCCTATTCAACAACCTGGAAAATCTAGTGTAATTTTTATTTAAAATAATGTATATTTGAAATAAAAATAAAAAAATTATCTAATTGTAAGTATGACCTTGTGTTGTAAACAAACCCCCATTAAGTACATACATATGTTTTTAGGGGTGTTTCGCTGAACTCCAATTTTAGAATAACATAACAAAACAATATTAACTTATTAAAATATAATCAACATACATCAAAAAATTCTTTTTACATAGTTAAACTAACTAATTGTTCTCTCTAAATTTTTTTCACCTAAATCCTTTTTGCACGAGTTCTCATATTTCAGTTTTTTTATACTCATTTTAAAAGTGTGACATAAGACGTTCTAGATACATTTTTCATAAATTTAGTTTATTGCACACGTTATATATTTTATACTGTACTCTAATAAAAATAAATGTTTGTTTCATTGAAATATTTTCAAAACGTTGTCAGCATATTAGTTAACATTTTTTCAAGTGTTACAAAAACGTATTATTGAAATATTGTCGAACAAATGTTTGTAACATTTTACTTGCAATTTTTATTTACATGACAATATTTCAATGTTTTTTTTACAGCCTTTAGTAAATACCTAACTGTTGAAACATTGAAAACCCAAACAAAATCTGTTGAAAAATTAAATTTTTTTTTTTGCTATCCGAGATGTGCATTGAAACTAATTATGCGTTTAAAAGATAGTTTGGAAATAAAATGGATGAAAAATACATTTGATTACTTACCGAACAAACCGTGACGGCCGACATTTCGATAGTAATGTATTCTGGCAAACTTCACTTGGAGAGACTTGCTCTAGTGTACTTTTGACCAGACGAATTCGCACTACTGTGCACAACCGACTGTCTTTGGAGTATTTATACAGGGTCCGACAATATCATGTGTATGTGGTTTTCCAAACGACACCTCGACCTTGGCCATCGTTTGTGTTTGGATACTTTCTTAATACTTCTTCTTCCTTTATTAGATTTTTAAGAGGACGTCGACGCCATTATTATTAACAGTATGACGTACTTTGGACATTAACACTGTTGTGCTTTAACTTATGCGCCAATGCACACAATCGTCCCGTGAACAAGAGCGTCTTGGAGAGCCTTGAATGACCGTTTTTCGTGACTACACGGTTCGGCCGAGGCTGATGTTTGCAAAGAAAAATATCTGTCATTGTCTATACACAATTATATTATTATAATATGTACTTCTTTTCATCGACCGTGTCCAGGAAATACCCGGTTGCGAATGATCTGGATGACGTATCCGAAAATGATCTATTATTATATGCAAGCACGCAACGTTGTGGTAGTCCTTATTGATAATAGTTCTAAGGTCTAATGGACTTATGGACAAAATAAATGGAAAAAAACCCACCGCGATTCGGCCTCTCTGGTGTATTATGATAATATTATGTAGAGTATGGGCTAAATTAAAAAATATATATTATAGCTTAAAACTCGATTTGAAACGGTTATAGAACTTTTTCAAAAAGTTCCAATTATAAAAATAGTCATATATAATAAATTTAAAAAAAGATATTAAAGAGAAGTACAAAATATTATTTGTTTAGATAAAGTTAGTAACGAAATTTGACAAAATTTGTAATTTAAAAGTTTACACAAAACGGTTAAGCTAAAATATAGTAAGTAAACGTACAATTTTTTTAATATCAACTCTAATTTTACACAATAATTATAATTAAAATGACATAATTATTTAATTTTATTTATCTCCAAGTATTCTAAAAATGTTTTTTTCAATTTTTGTTTTAACGCTAATTTTGAAACAAGTAATATCAACTTAATAAATCACTACTAAGTTATGTAATATCGTTTTTTGTTTTGTAAAACACCTGATTTGTTTTTTCGAGTACAAGTTGTTGGACATGAAAGTTAAGAGTAGAGTAGAGTAGAGCAAAGTGTTAATTTTCAAAGTGAATATAAATTTACCACACCCATCCACTTAGGTAATTACCAACATATGGATGACAACATTACCTAAATGATAGTGTTAACGCGATTGCCTTAAGATCTTTTTATAGTAGGCAAGTATTTGTTTCTTAGATAGAAATGGCATCTGTATTTCTTTTCGTGTAAATATATATTAATCTGATATTAACACATATTGTAATATTCAGAGAAAAAAAAACTCAACTTATCCCTATTTTATTTAAATTCAAAATTATTGTATACAAATTATTTACATATTGCGTACAATACTTAACACGGTATTATTTTATTACAAAATAATATATTGCAAGCAAAGTCATACAATTATATCGGCTGAAAGTTGTTTTGCATAATGTCAACAATCACAACTAATTAAATTGTTATCTATAATAATCTAACAATTATTTATGTGTACCAGTTTAAGGATAACAGCTATTAAATACTTAGAATTTTTTGTTTTTATAGTTTGTTTCCTTGAAAATTATTTTTTAATTGGCAACGTGTAAAAACTCATAAGTCTTATTGATGTCTTCATCATTGATAACACAACTGGTATTATAATGATTCTTTAGTTTGTTGGAAAATTAAATAAATAATTTATTATTATAGCGATTCTTAATTCAAAAAAAGTTATTTATAAATTATTTTAACCTTTATGTTATTTTAAATTCTATAATCACTCAATAAGTGTACCAAATGACAATTCTCTAGGCTAAAATTTAATTTCAAATGGACTTACGAGTGGAATAAAAATTAACTTTTGAATTATAATTGGGTAATATTAATTTATAAACATCTTATATTTGCAACGTTATACTTAAATCATACAATAACTTAAATCGCAACTAAAAATAAAATCACGAATCATGATTAAATATATTTTTTTTTACTCACAATTAAAATAAACTTCTAACTTAAATACAATTTCCCTCTAAAACTGTGTGTGATTATTTCATGTGTTGTATTGATTTTTGAGTTAATTATATTTAAGTAAGCAATGACCTGGTCCTACTTGGCTTTGGGTCGGGCTACGGTCAGTAAAATAATAATCCTGCATTGGCCGGACTTTTCAACATAAGCCCCTCTCTATATTCAGCGTAGTAACTATTGCATTGGTTACTTACATAAAATACAAAAGTAGACTAAAAAAAACAGATTTTATAACTAAAAGAGTATTATCAAATGATGTGGATAAGATAAAGAAATGCGAAATAAAAGGATGAGAATCACCTACTCTACTTGTAATGTAGTAAAAAAAAAATACATTATTAAACATTGGTTTAGAATACACTCAGAAACAGATTGGTTAATTTGGAAGTTGTAATATACTAGCTGATTATTATTAATTTTCGCTAAAATATTATTTCAAAACATTAAATGTTGTCACGACTTGAAATTTTAATTCAAATAACAATTGGATAAAGTATTAATGAGCGGACTGAATATTAAGATTCAACTCTGGTCTTGCACATGTTCAGTACCGCATCGAGGTTTCTTAATCGTTGCTTAGTCTATCTTCAGAAAATATTATAACAATACAATAAATGGTTTTTGTAATTGTATGCAATACACTACAATACGTCTTGTATTACTACAGTCCCTTAACTAATCGACCTTTCAATATTCTTACTAAAAATAAGTGATAATTTGTATTCATTAATTTTTAACAAAAGTTATATAATTTCATACAATTTATAAAAATGACTTATAAATGTTTAGCCGTTAACACTTTCCACAAATGTGTTTGTTTGAAAATATTTGGAGTATAGTTAATAATGTTTTATGTGTAAAACCAAAACACAAGCTTTAGCTGTGGTGAAATTCGAAACAACTTTTAGTCTAAAGCCAACCTAAGCTAACCTAAGTCAACTGTGCTTTTTTTATGTAAATTTACATATGGATATTTTTGGGCAGCTGCAATAAAATGTATTGTCCAGTACGCGCATCTAGTTCTTTTGCACTAATGAAACTATTTTGAAGAAACCCTTCTATACTTCCGACTTGGTTGACTTAAAAAAAATTACTTATAACTTTTAGTATCATAACCTTAACTATTGTATTAGTTACTTACATTAAATACATATTAAATAGACTAAAAAAATAAGAAACATGATATGACTAAAGATGTATTAACAATATGTTGATGTGGATAAGACAAAAAAATGGGAAATGAAAAGATTAGATTGGCCTACTCCACTTATAATGTAGTAAAGAAATATACATTGGTTCAGAATACATCCAGAAACGGATTTGTCAATTTGGAAGTTGTAATATTCTAACTGGCTGTTATTAAGTTTTGCTAAAAAATGATTTTATAATATTTAATTGTTGCCACGATTGGTCAACATATTATTGGGCGGACCGAATTTAGCTTCAACTCTTGGCATGCACGTGTCAATCGCCACTTAGTGAATCTTCGGAGTATAACACTATAACAATACAATTATTGGCGATTGAAATTTCACCGAGTACACAATTTTGAAATATTACAAGCATGCTTTGGCGAGTTCGGACGACAGAAAAAAAACTATCTAGATGAGACGGTTTTTTTCCCCCTAGTTTGTGTCTTGGCCCATCCGAGTAAGACGACGATCCCGTGGCTTTCCCGTTCCCCGGACGAGGGAAAACCCGTCGGCAGGGACGCACGGTATTTATCGTGTAGCTGGCAAGTCTGATGGCGGTTTCCTATAGCGTTGTTGGCGTCAAGCTCTGCCGTTCAGTAACACTTGCGTGCGTTCAGTGTACCCGGAAAAGCGTGCGGTAGTCCCTTCGGGTAAGCGCAGCGGCTGTCGTGAGTTCCGTCGGTATCCGCGAGTTCGTAACACGAGTATAGACATTTTTTTTTTTGGGGGGAAAAACAGAAATTTTCGAAAATATTAAAAATATAAAAAAAATCCTGTAAGTATATTGTGTTATATTTTTCGCTCTATTGATAAAAATCTAATCGTAATCCAACAAACCAACGGGATTAGTGTCCGCATTACAAACACAAAAAATACATTATGATATGGCTGCGATACTGTTGTAAATATAAACTGCTAATTTGAATTTTTATTTTTGAAAATCAAAATACACTCCTGTATTTTGTCTGGCGGTCCAGAAAAAATGTTAAGCTTTTTGTTTGTGTACAAATATTGTTCGCATATATATGAAATATAAACAGTGTACAATTTATTCGAAATTTGTGTTTACTTAATAACATTGGTTTAAAAAAAAAATATGGTCAACAAAATTAGCCTTTCAGTAATTTTATTGATTTATAAAATACCTTTTTTTCCCCTTATGTCGCATAAAAACAATAAAAACTTATTGAGAAAATAACGAAATTTACATCAGATATTTACACTCCTATTTAGAAAAACTATTTTCAATGCATAGATAAATTGAAAAAAAATACTTTAAATTCATATTTAAACAAGTATTTAGATTCACTGAGAATTTTTAAGTAAAATTACATTATCATTAAAAATTGGTTCAAGCTCCAAAATTTAAAAAGCCAAATGGTTTCCAAGTATGGTTTTGTTGAGGTATAGGAAAAAATATTTCAAGTAAAATAGTTTTTTTTATATTATCTGAAAAAAAATGTATATAATATGTATAGGAAATTTCTAAATAAAATTTTGTAGTATTTAAAACATGTTATTGGTTTATTAAAACGTATTCAATATTCCTTCTTTGACCGATAAATACGAATAGGTACATTCTACCTATATTTAGAAAATACAACTGGTAAACTTTTCTTCACAAAACTAATGTATAATTTCGTTTAAGTGATTGTTTTTTAGCTCTTAAAAGTTTATTGTGGTATTTGAAATTAAAACGTTTTTATTTTTTTATTTTGAATATAACAATAGTTGCTCACTTTAAAAATTGTATTATAATTATGATTTATATTTTGAATACCCTTAAGAGTAAGTGAATTAAAAAAAAAAAATCTTTATATTTTTCATTAATTTAAATAAATAAACACTTTACCGAAGCGCCGTTTACGCTACCCCGCGTAGCACTCAATTAGAAGTAAAACTATACTTTTACTTTTAGTTAAGTTGAAAGTATTAAAAGTTTAATATATCCCTGGTGTTTTAAAAACACTTTGTACAATATAATTTTTGAATTTTTAAAATTGTTAAAAAAAACTATACCAAAACATTTGTGTTGTCCAAATACAATTAACGATGACATGCATGGATAAATAATTTTGTCATATTGCAATGTATTTTTTGTTTGCTATTTTAATCGGAGATTTAAAAAAAAAAAAGACTTGTTTAAAATTGCGTTTTTTTTTTAATTTCTAAAATTCGTTTTCCGAACTAGATTGAACAAAAATGATTTTTTTTTAATGATAAAAAACTGTACATTATTCGTGGAATACTACTATCTATGGAAATTGAGCTGTGTAAATTCCAATCGAAAACATGATGAATAAATAATGCAAGTTCGCTAACTATGCTATATTTTATAAGTCATTGAACGCATATGTCAACGGCAGAAACATTAAAATATGAAACAAAAACTTCCATCTCAGTAACAAAAAATAAAAAAAAATTGTTGTCTGATTATTTTTATTTAAATGTAATATCATGTTAATTATATTGTACATTTTTTTTTCTTCAAAAAGCGATAACAAAAGCAAGTCATTTCTAAGTTAACGTCCTTAATAAAGTATAATGTTAACATTTTGGAGTTACATTTATTTTTGCAAATATTTCCAGTTGGAAAATAGATTAAAATGGTACAATACTTTTTTTATTACTTTCCTAAGCAATGAATATGATAAAAAGCACCTCCCTTCTTGGAGAATATATAATAATAATTTTTTTTTTTTAATCAAATATGTATAAGACGACCGATGACGGTTCAACAGAATCTTTATAACCGTGGAAGTTATAGTTATGTACAGCGTCGCCTTGACGTTTCTGATCCATCGCAAAGTCAATCTTCAGAGCACATTATAACAATAAAGCATCTCATGAAACATTAACAACTGTTAAACATTTTAAAACAGTGACTGAACCGGATGAACTTAAATCTCGCCCCTGCATTACACGTGTTCAATCACGCTCTGACGTTTTCAACTCATTTCCAAGTCGTACTGATGTTTCAATACTGAATGGAATGTCATAGAAGAGGAAAATTAATTTGACTCTGTCCGCTCAAGCTGTTTATTTACACATCTACCAATAGAATGAAATATCCGAAAAAGAAGTTTTCCACTCTACAGCGATTAGAAAATGGCAATAAATTCGAGGAAAATTAAAATAATTGAGTTAAAAAAATATAACCTAATAACTATTCTCTGTGTTATTAATAAACATATATTTAATTTACAAATATAGTATACAAATGAATACACCACGTTCGTGCTGGTTTGATATTTTGAAATTATTTTAGGACATTGCAATTTTGTTTAAAAAACGCTTCGTTATTTTTGTATATAATACATTGTTTAACGGATTGACTAACGTATATATTTTTTAAATATATGCAGCAAAAAATGAACTTAAAAATCTTTTTAAGAATTCAACTTTTTAGTTTGGTTAGCTGGTACTAAAATGGTATTCTGCTATTGGGTATTCGGTTTGTATTGTTTTAATATTTACGCCATTGTTGAAAAACGTAATATTATGGTAAAAACACTATAAATTAATAATTATCAAGAACCATAATTATTGTATTAACAATACTCTGTTAATTGATTTTCATTAAACGTGTATTTGTAGCAAATAATGTTTTATAACAAGTCATCAACGAAAAGAAAAATTAGTAATTTTCTTAAGTCCCAAATTATTAGTGTCAACACTAAATCCCAATATTTTTTAAGATTATGAAGTTTGAATAAACAAGCCATATTACTTCAATTTAACGAAAAAAAATGTCGAGGCATAAAAAGTAGGTGGCAAAATTACTAAAAGTTACTAAATTTATAATGTGAATACATTTTCAGTATTTTGTTTTTGTTTTTCAATGAACGACAGTAGAAATTTAAATATCAGTGTAATTTCCACATGCCATATGTTCGATAATGGCCATAAAAATACCTTTTGTGACCATTTGTGAAATATATTATAATATAAAAGTGTTTTTTCTGCAATTTTTATGGCCATTTTTTTTGCAACGTCTCTATTGTAGTATTCTGACGTATTGTGGTTTCCTTTATATTGATACGATACCGATGACCATCAACACAATAATAATATTCACATAAACGTCTACGTCGTTATACAAACATGTCTTTTTTTATTGATTTACTAACGACATAATAATAGAGATTTTTTAAAATTTACTCGTCCGTTTATATCCAAATGGGCTCGTGTAAATTTCAAGCACGGCCATGCACAATACAATTGTTATTATTATTGCTTTTGTATGACAAATTTCAATATATTAATATAATAAAACACTTAGGTTATGCTGTGCGAAGCTGCGTGTGAAGTTTTATACAATAAACGGGTCGACACACGCGGGTGGTAATTAATACATTCGGAATAATAATAATAATAATATTACTATTGTTTTTAATTGCAATAATAATACCGAAAGTTTGTTTGGTGACAACCATAATTTAAGTTCCATACGCAAAACGTATTACACATTTCAATAACATGCGATATAATTTGTTAACAAAAACCAAGCCTTTAAAATCCAATATTGCCAATTGTTATTGCCGGCTCTCAATAAAATTGGCACTAAGACAATGGGATGTCATCAATTACCAAATATTTTGTTTGTACGATTTATGGCTTAGTAAGTCATCCGAGTTGTTTAAAAACTATTTACCGAACACTCGTTGCCTCATTGGCTCATTCATGTTATTTTGGCCCGCGAATTTATTTACATAAATTTAACGCTTAACAACTTGGCCAACACCTTTTCGTGGCTCGACATTTTTTTTTTTGTCACAATGTTAAACGGTTCAGCGCATTTCCAAGTTTCATAATATTTCAAAACGGGTTTTTTTTTAAATATTATGTTTAGCGTTTACCTACATTAAACAGGTAATAAAAGGACAAAGAAAGTATTTGTCAAATTCATTTTCCTCTTCTATGACATTCCATTCAGCACTGGAACATCAATATGATTGGAAATGAATTGAAAACGTCTTGACTGAACGCGTGTTCAGCCTGTGATTCATCCGGCTTCGTCACTCGATTAAAATGTTTCATGCAATGCTTTATTGCACCCCAACAATGTATTATATTCTATTGTAATGTGCTCTGGAGATTGACTTTGCAATAGACACGTGCAAAACTGGAGTTGAAGCGAGTATTTTCAGTCCATCCAATAATAGTAGCTTAACTATTATTATTAGATTTCCACAAACAATATATTTTCTTTAGCTCAAAACTACTTAAACCCCGTTTGTTATAATATTCGATTGCACGTAAAAACATTTTGACATTTATTATAAAATAATATCTGTTTTTCAAATTATTTACAAACTATTGAAATGTTTTCTTTCTTTGTGGGTATTATATTAGTTTGGACAAATGAGAGAATATTTTTATTTTTTTTTAGCTTTTAGTCTAAAAAACTGAAAACACAACTTCAACCGATTCTATTGAAACGTCATCCGATCATGTTTCGTTATAATAATGACATTAGCAATATGATCGCATTTATAATATATTATTGTCGAACCGTAAAATTATATCATTATTTTTCGTTTACAACCGTCCAAATATTCGGAAGGAAATCAAATATAACTGAAGGGCGTTTCGTATTGTTATTTACTCTTGCAAGAAAGATAAAGACGTGAAATACAATATTACCCGTATTATATCCCAACGCGGTGCTTATTAAATAATACAAAAGTCTGATAAATCTCGAAATAAACATAATGTGAGAAAAATATTGGAAAAAAGTCTTAAAGCAAATATGTGCATAAATAAAATGATAATCGTGGCAAACAAGGGGAGCTCTTTTCATATTAAGAGCTTATAAAGATGATGAAAAATACATTATATAGTAGGTAATAGTGTAGTTTATTTTCCAACTAGGAATATACTTTGCATATAAATATCACCGTCAAAATGTAATGTAATGCAATACGTTTTTTTCTACTCGGTTTAGTGTCATATATAAACACAACATATTTGTAATACAAATTCAGTCTCCTTATTTTTTTTTTTTTAATACTTATATATACCTCTATCGATTACAAACCGAGACACGACTTGCTGTTGCTATACTATCGCGTTTCAAAAAAATATAAACTATCATTTAATTAACTCGATTTTGTTTAAATCGTGTTAATTAATTAATGTGTCCAGTTCACAAACACATTTGTAATATTTCAAAATTGGGTATTTCGTGCAATTTCATTTACCAATTATTGTATTATCATAATATATTGTATTATAATTTAATTGGAGGAAACTATGTAGTCAACATTGCCTTGATAACCTAACGTAAGTCATTATTATAAATTGCACGAAATTATATAACTTCTGTTCAAAATTAATGAATACAAATTATCGCTTATTTTTAGTAAGAATATTGAAAGATCAATTAGTTAAGGGACTGTAGTAATACAAGACGTATTGTAGTGTATTTCATCAAATTACAAAAACCATTTATTGTATTGTTATAATATTTTCTGAAGATTGACTAAGCAACGATTAAGAAACCTCGATGCGGTACCGAACACGTGCAAGACCAGAGTTGAATCTTAATATTCAGTCCTCCCATTAATACTTTATCCAATCGTTATTTGAATTAAAATTTCAAGTAGTGACAACATTTAATATTATGAAATAATATTTTAGCGAAAATTAATAATAATCAGCTAGTATATTACAACTTCCAGATTAACCAATCTGTTTCTGAGTGTATTCTAAACCAATGTTTAATAATGTATTTTTTTTTTTACTACATTACAAGTAGAGTAAGCGATTGTAAAGTTTTATTTGCTCACATTTTTTTAATGAGGACGAAAAATTAAAGACAGTTGTAAAATGAACAATAATAATTATGAGGCACGATTACTATTTGTTCAAGAGGCGATGAAAATATATGAGTTATCAAGTAGGCAATAGAAGAATAAACCGGGGTTTTAAATAAATATAATGCATAAAACCCAGATAATATTTATCACCTGAGTCTATTCACTTCTAATATTATGACCTCGGCAATGATAATAATATATACCGTTTTGGCTGATTCATTTTTAGAAGCCAAACAAATATTAAAAAGTCATTGAGAACCAATTTTTTTTTTGTCTTAATTTTTTAGTCTACCATTTAAAATATCCTCACTTATTTAAAAGTATATAATATTATTAAGTACAAAAAACACATATCTTTGTATTTTTTATGTAACACTTAGTTCATTATTGTTTAGAATAGAAATAATTAAAAACTAGTCAAAGTGTATATCCTCAGTTTTTTTTTTTAACAAAAACATAACGCAGCTCATAATTTTCATTTTATAAAAGCTTTGTCTGTTTGGAGTGGTGAAGGCCTAATATGGTTACATAGTACAAGTAATTTTCATAACATCTTACAGGAAAGTAAAATGAAAATATTATGATAATTTTTGAGCGATGCCCATTAATTTGTTACAATATCACGTTTTTATGAAAAATTTTAGAACAAACACAGACAAAAATATTTAATTCACAAATAATATTTTGATTAATAACATTTTTTTTAAAAATGTATACGTTTATTTATTACCAATTTTCAAATTAAATAAATCATCTTATAAAACCGTATACCTTTTCAATGAAATGTTTTAAAATAATACACAGTTGTCGTGGGGATATACATTTGCATATTTTTATTAAGATCGGTTGCTATATTTTTTTATTAGTAATCGCACCAACGTTTTATAATATTTGTTTTGCATTTTAAACATGTCCAAAATGATGAAATGTATTACCGGCCCGAAAAAGTCCACTCTAACTTAGGAACTACCGTTAAAATTCGTCTTGTAATCCCTTATTTTTTAGCATACACAATTTGTAACAAAAAATGTACTGGTTAATTTTTTTTTTTTTTTTTTTAAAGGGGGAAAATGCTCACGGTGAAAATATATTCGTCTATCGACCTAATGGTCCGTGTCGCGGTGGTCGTTTAAACAACCGTCGATATTTTTTTTGTCGTGTCGGTTAAGTCGAATTTGCATGTACACTTTAAGTTACTTTTCATGCGGACCGTAAGTGCACGTTGACAGTATGATTTTACCGCCATCGGGTTAAACGATTTTCAGGACTAACATTCGATTAGTGCCCAATTTTGGTGGTAAACAGTTGGTAAAATATTATTTCTTAATTATTAGTAAAAGGGGATAGCTTAAGGGGAAACCGGTCGGGAGATGATGTTATTACTATTATTATTGCTTCAAGCCGTGATTATAATATTATATACATTTTGTTTTTCGTGTCCTCGAATCGACAACAGCTGTTGTTTCAAGACGTTTACCTCACGTAGGTGTACAGTATCTAGTCGATAACTTCCACTAGATATGTTCAATTATTATATTAGGTGTATACTTTGTGTGTGTGTGTGTACGGATTTGTTAATAGTAATAATCGTTATTATTGTTATCTTTTGTCGATAAACAGGTGACCGTCGTCGAACACTCGGCCTGATGTGCGTTTGTTGGTTTATTGCCGCAGTAGAGTGTCGCAAAGATTACCCGAACGTGGGCCGTCGAGAAATTATTTAAAGACTTTCGTTAACATACTAAGACGTTTATTCTGACACTTAATCAAACTGCTCGTTGGCGATTCGCACCTGTTGTTCTCGCCGTTTGTCATATTATAAACCACGCGAGTGCGGACAAAGGTCGGTTTTTCTTTTTCGGGGTTTTTCCGTATAGCATTATGTCTGGAAATAACATTGTTACCGAAGTCGCAGCGGTCGTGACCGAGTGACCGGGTTACCTTCCCCAGGACCAGAGAAAATGGCGCAGAGTTGGCCCAGGCCGGGCCCGGTGGTACGGGAAGGGCCCAGTGCCGCGCTCCGTTCGTTCGCCATTTTCGCCGAGTCAAGGTCACTGTAAAAGGTCGCCGCCGCAATGACCTTCAACAACACGACTGCAACAGACGCCGGCAACTTCACCCTCGGCGCCGATCCGGCCGACGACCTCTACCAGGTGCCGCCCATCCTGATCGTCCTGTTGGCCATACTGTACGGATCCATATCGGTGGTGGCCATAGCCGGCAACGGCCTGGTCATATGGGCCATCACCACCAGCCGGCGGATGAGGTCGGTCACCAATCACTATTTGGCCAACCTCGCCGTCGCCGACATCATCCTCGCCTTGTTCGCCATCCCCTTCGAGGTTAGTCGAATCACTAATTGGAAATTTGGTTTATTATATATATACGTATACATATATATATATAAATATCTGTGGCTGTAATCAAGAAGGCGAACGACAGTGTGACCACTTTAAATAATATTAAATACTCGCATTTTATAATAGACAAATTCGAATCGCACATGATGATATTATGGTATAATGTGAGAACATTATAACTGTTGTGCCACGTGTTTTGTATGTACCAGAGAAATGTAATTCCGTCATTCTGGTGTCACACTGCAGCTCGTCTTTTCGTTTACTTCATAATATTTTACTTATTGCGACCCACTTGGGTTCAATTATTATGTAAGATCATAATAGCAGCGCAACTATATTGATACCTACGAATGTGTCCTATGGCTGGGGGTTCTGTCACGTGACAGACGTGCTTTTACTATACACCGGTGACGGGAAGGGGGATAGCGTTAAGGGAAAACCGATAATTGTTTCTGGTAACAGCTGATATGAGATTATTGATAAGAGAATCAGCTGATAACTGATAAAAGTTAATTGCACAATAAGTACCTTTGCAAGTTTGAGCACATCGTGAGAAAATGTTCTTCATATTTTAAGGACAGTTTCCAGGAATAACTCAAATAACCCTAATTAGGTATACCTAAACGGAAATCTTAATCTTAAGACTAACTGCTATTTGGTTGTACCTAATTAGATAAATAACAATTCTTTTCAAAAAAATATTTATTATTCTTTATTAATTATTTGTCGTTTGAGAATGACGAAAATGCTAATATCACTTAGGACTTGTTCAAAAGTTTATATTCGTTATAAAATGTTTGGAATAGGGAAAGGTATTTTTTTTTAAGAGCTTTTATCCAAAAAAAACTATAATTTACTCAGTGAAAAAAAGTTTACTGAATGTTTAATCTTATTCGTGAAAATATATTACATCTAATTACAATATTTCTACTTACAGAAAGCTAATTAATTAGTTAACTAGGTTTGGTTAGTAACATTTTAAAAAGGTACACGTAATAAATAACGGTCTGTTATTGCATTGCCATTAAAAATTCAGTGTTGTATTCTGTGCTGTAATTTTACTGTGAAATGACAAATAAACCCATGACAACTATCGCTTTTACCCACCGACATCGTGTGTTTGACAGGAAGCTTCTTCTTTAAAAATGAACAACACAAGTCCAGAATACTACTACAAGTGTGTGTAAGTCTCGTGAAAATAGTACATTATATTCTTAATATATTTTCTCAATAAATTCGCTCCATTGCTGTGGATCTGACGTGTTCTAGTTATTAACAGTCCACGCCCAAACCGACACATGAGTATAATGCGATAAACACGAGCTGGCAGTAATTTTAACAGTGAAGTGAATAATAATATGCTATGGTGTACGAAGTAGGGGCAATGATGGTAGTTTTTATTGTTCACCTTTAGTGCCCTTTAACGATTTCCCTAGCGTTAAGTGGCGTTTGTTTTATTGTGTCGACAATAAAACAAAAGCAGCAACTTTAGCCGTTATTGGAATTTGTTTAATAATTGTACGCCATATTGCCATCAAATGCACTTTGTAGAAAACTATTCGAGAGACTAAAAAGTATCTGTAAAAAAAAATATATTTCAAACAAATTGCGATAATGTTTTAAAAATATATTATCTGTTCGGGCGTAAATAATCTACCCAGTCGTTTTTCTAATAAAATTTTCATAATATAATTTGGAAAATATTTGTTTTTTGCTGTCAAACCAGTGTGGCGTGAATAAGTTATACTTAAAAGGGTGCTCGAAAATAGCTACAAATATCAATACACAAAGAAATTTTTGTTTTTCTACATCACATTGAAAAATATACCAATCAAGTACAATTTAAAATTAAAATCATAAATAGAAGAGTATCGGAAGAGTTATTTTTATATTATTACATTTTTTTCCAATGTTAATTAAAGTCGACTTGTCTAAAAAAGCGATGAATGATTGGATAGAAAAAAAATGTACCCAAATACATTTTACATTTATATAAGTAGGTACCTAACAAACAAATGGAAGTTATGTCAGTTAATTAAAATGAATTTTTACAAAATACTTTCCTTGGTCAGGTGGCTAAAACGGAACTGGAAATTTGTATTTAGACTAACTAAGTTAAAAACCATATAAACGGATAATACTGTTAAAAACTAATTAGTTTATATTATTATAGGAACCTTTTGTGTTTTAATTATAAAACTTTTAGTTTGTGGTACAAATAAACGTTTGGTCATTTGCAATGTAAAAAAAGAAGTTTAATGCGAAAAATACCAATTCAGGTTTTCTTGTAACCACAGTAAATAGAGATTTAAAAAAATAATTTCAAACTTAAAATTTACATTCCAATGAACCCGTGGACAAGCATTCAGATGATGCAAAAAATTAGCACATACCTCAGCATGTTATATGGAATGAGCGGATCTCAGTTTGGTTTTATAAGCAAACAATGGTATTTTTACTGGTCAAATATTATTATCTATAGGTTTTGATTAATTTTTATACAGCCGACACAAAGCTCAGTCCTCTCGGGATGGGACCGGAGTAGAGCAAAATAAATTACTATATGTATTGTGTTTTATACACATTTTGAAAAGGCCTTACATTCTGAAACTTTTTGATCTTGCTGTACTGAAGGGTTTAGATGAAAGGTCATGAAAAACAAAACCTAATGCGCTTCGTCGCACACAGAATTAATCCATCAGCCAAGGATAGGTTGGACGACAAAAGAATTCCCAAATCCTCAATAGGCTTTTGGGGTAATCTTGTTCTAAATCACTATAGTGTGTATGCGGTCTTGTAATTAAACTTCATTGTGCGGATTTAAGTCGAAAAACTCAATTCCAGGGCAGTTTTGCATCATCAGTATTCGGGCGAGCAATTAAAACACCATAATATAGAAAAACTACTTAAACCTGATTGTGATTAAAAATACACCAAACAAAATGTGGCCCAACACAAAAAAAGGAAACTACCAAAAATGTACATAGTATATACAAATATGACAATCATTAATTAAAGCTTCAAAACGGATTTGAATGGAAAAATATAATAACCTAAATTTAAAAATGCCCGAAAAGATAATATACTAAAAAACAAAATAAGCAGTAAAAATTAAAAATTATGCAAATTTTAGAGCTATTTTAATGTAATTTGACACGGAACAAATGGTTTTTATTGAAAAATCTTTAAAAGGTTTTTTGTACTTTTCAAATAATATTTCCGTGTCAACCAAAAACTATCAAGGAAATGAATATTGGGCACACCTATATTATTAATACAACAATGTTCATAATGTAAATTGAATTTAAACTAATTACTAAAATTATTTACATTATAATGCGTGACATAAATTATTAAGTGCATTTTATATTATGAACACATATTATGTGCAAATATTCATTAGATGATTCGATTTAAGTTTCTATAAATTATTATATTTTTACAAATTCCTTAGAAACAAAATTTCTTAAATCTAATAATTAAATATTAACCAAACGACTATTGTACGTCTAGTATATTTTTCCACTAGACCTTGACAAAATATATTTAACTGATTTTTTTTTTTAAATTGCATTTTAGAATATTTGTTTTAGTTTAATAACACAACTAGGGTTTCTCGTGCAGTCTTATGACAATTAATTAAGGATCTTGTAAACAAAATAGACATATTATGTTTTTTTCTGATAAACGTAGTTTTTAGTCCTAGTTATCGTTTTCTTCGTTAAATTGGGAAATAAGGTTTATACATGACATACAAATTAGATTAGGTATATTTGTATAATCATGCAAATTTTCCAAGCGATTAATATCCAACTAAAAACCAAATTCGATGGATTATTTTCTTAATAATCTTTACAAATTTCTTAACCTCGATGGGCTATAAGCAAATAGGTGATTGGTGTTTGTAGACATTTCCGTTGTGCCCCAATTTTCAAATAATTATTATAATAATCCTTTTACAATAACGAGCCAAAGCCTTTCCGGTAATGCATTATCACATCAATGACTTATCGAGTTTCTTAAGCAAGTGGTTGAGTAAATAATTTTAAGGACATCATTAAAATATTGTAATCCGCAATTCGTTAACCAACAAGTAACAAAAAATGAAGTCGATCTGGTCCTTAATTTTTTTTATGAAGTTTCAACTCATAATTGGAACTGCGAAAAAAAAAATATTACCTACACTAACACACCTAACACTTTAAGTATGTGATTTCGTTTAGTCATTTTTTGGGCATCTGAATATTATGGTTAGGTGTACTTGTTAATGCAAAATTTTGAAAACAAATACATTTTAACGCATTTTGACGGTGGCAATTTATTTTTCGGTCAACTCGTGTCAGCTTGTGGGTATAGTTTTTAACATATTTATTTAAAAAAAAATTGTTGGCCGTTTTAATTCTTAAACGTTTGTTATTTTTGGTAACTTAACAGTTAATACAAATTTGGCGATCAGAAGGAAAAAAAATACAAAACCACCGTCTAAACTAAACATAAAAGTGTAGCTTGCAAAAAAAAAAAATGTAAAAGAGGTACTCTGGTTGTGACCATTTTAAGTGTATAATATGATATTAATAGTTTTCATTGTGCTGCTATATTTAAAAATTTAATTGTAGCTTATTTAAGTGTGATTTTTTTTTTTTTTAGCTTTTTTCGTTTAACAACTATTGTTTTTTTCCCCCGTCAGATTCGCTCGTCTGTTTTTGCCGGTTCGTATATTAGATTTATTATAAATTATGATGTCCATTGTCTTTTCGATGGAGTTAGTTCTGCGAGTGTAAGTGATGGGTCCTTAACTAATATCGTAGGTGTGCACTGCATTCTGTCCTCATTCCGTTCAGTGAACCGGCATCTGTCAATTCCGGATTTTTTATGATTTCAGCCGGTCTGTATACCGTATAAATATTAAATGCATGCTCTGATTATCTGTCAAGCTGATAAATTCGGTAACATATTTATTTTGAGCACACCCGCCTATTGAA